GACTTTTGCTCAGTTAGCTTATCTGCCGCCACCGGAATGCCAATTTTACTAGCTATTCGAGAGATACCCTCTGAATTCCAACATGCAAGGGTTAGATCGTGTATCTTCACCCAGATCAGGACGGACGAAAATTCTTCCTTCTTCGGTATGAACTTGGGATGCCATTTTTGAAGTACAAAAGGCTTACCCAGCAGGAACCAGACTCCTCTCGACCATACCGTATCAAAATCTTCTTGGCAAGTAAACCTAAGAAGGAAAAAGCCATCATTGAGAGAGAGCAACTTAAATGTACCTTTTAAAGTCCATATCTTGTTCATGGCCCCCAGCAGAGCCTCATAAAATGGTCTACGCCCGATCGAGTACCCGACCAGGCAAAGATCCCATTCTTCACCTCCCTTGCACAACTTTTCACTCGAAAAAGGTATTATGTCGGGCTCAGATGGATGATGTGAGAACTCAAGAGATTTTGGGGAGTTATTGTCTGGAGCGAAGACCTTGCTCCAGTTCCTCGGGAGAGAAGACGGAAAACCTTCAGAAGCCGGGCCTAGAGGAGGGAAATCTGACTTACTAAAGGATGTATCCATGACGAAGGGGTCCTCCGGCCCGCCGGAGGAGGAGAACGAGGAAAATCTTCAGGAGGCGGCGACGCAGAGAGGAAACCCTAGCAGAGCACCTTTCCTAAAAAAATCCTTTTCTTTCTTTCGGTAATATCGTTCCAATTTTATCCGATGTCTCCGAAGAGACATCATTTAATAAGGAAGAGGAAGATTATTAAAATTTTATGTCGCTTTCTCATTTATTGATTGCCCGATTACGTATGAACTTACGCATAGGAGTTGATGTGACGCATTTTCATTGGGCTTTAGACAGCATACAGTGTTCGTACCCAATAATTTCCCCTCATTAGGAGATCAACATAATCAAATCCCCATTTGATACTCATTTAATTGTTTCTGAATTTACCCATTACACGAAGTCCAGAGCAAAACTGATTTGGATAGTTACCCCGTAGTGAACCAAGTTTTCATTTGGGACAACTTTCTTAGTGTTTTTGAAAGTAGCTTTTTAATACAAAATTTTTTGAATTAAAAAATTTTATGCTAAAAAATCATTTTAGAAAGCAATAAGAAAGCTGTTGCAAATGAAGCCTAAGACTTAAATGGTATGGAATTATTATTAACAAGTTCACTGTTAGTTCCAATCAGGGGAGGACCCCGCCTTAATTTTCATGGGGGGCTAACTTATAAGTAAATGTTTGTGTTGCCTCGAATTTGACTCGACCTTTCGCTACAAAAATTGGGTCAATAGCGACCAAATAAAAGAGATAAAAAGAATATGATCGCTAAAGATGATTAATTATTCAATTTCTACAAAATGTATGTTGGAGTTGCCTTGAATTTGGCTTGACCCCTATTTTTTCATATCATTGATCGTCATACGATTCACAGATATGCCGGAGGTCCAAATGGGCAGTGCCCCCTGGCAGGTTAGTGGGGTCAAGGGGCAGCGCTCTTACAGGGGTTTTCAGGGGCAACGCCCTCGGAACAAATTTTGGTTGTAAGGATATTTTTGGAATTAAAATTAACAAATAAAATGATAAATTCTCTTTACTATTTCTCTTTGTATTTGGTTCATTGTTTCCTAACATTAACACCTCTATACAATGTGTTTAATTATGCTATGGGGCAATTACCTAAAGACCATAATATTTTAAAACTTTTAGGGTATGCAATTACCTAAAAATCCTTATAATAAAGACTAAAAAATATATTGAGAGGGACAAATTACCTAAAAAATCATATAATAAATTTAAAAAAAAAAAAAAATAGGAGATCCGCCTACTAGTTCCAACCATGTTTTATAAGTTTGAACTATATTCTTTATCTATATAAATAAGATTAAGGTCGACCTTTAAATTACTCCACCCATCTCTGGATATTCGTGTTGAAGCTAACTACTTCACCTCCTTCAAAAAAAAAAAATCCTCACAAAACCACACATAATTTTTTCAATACAAATATAGTTCAGGCGAAAGTGTATTCACATACAAAATTAGGGCTCATATCTGGAGCAGAGCTTGGCTCCATTCAACTTTGGGTGCATGACATAGGGAAGAGAATGCACGAAGTTGGAAACCAACTACAATTTCTCTGAACCGCACTGGGTAATCAGGATCATCATCCTTCAGCTTGACGATTGGTGTAAAATTTTCACCTCGCTCATCGAAGGTAATGAACATTGACGCACAAAGTGCAGAGTGATCAGAGTAGTTGCTGGGCGGAAAGATACAACGTAGATTGAATTGTGAATTTACAATATCTACTTTGTAAAGCCACCATGGGGTACCTACTATAATTCGAGTATCAACTGATTTAACAGGAATTCCGAGAGACTTCAAGATTGGGACGTACGCGTTCCATTCTTGTGTTGATCGTCCTTCATTCTGGATTCCATCAGGTAAGACAGGTATGTAGATGAAATTTGTCAAAACATTCTGGGGTTGATAAGCTCCGAAGTTCTGGATTGCATCTGCAAAAGGTAATGGAAGCTCAACGTCAGGAGCGTAAGTTGGCGGGTTGACAAAAGGAGTCATGTCTCTGCCATATTGTCTATGTATAACACTCATCTTGCTATAAAGAGCAGTGATGCAAGCATCGACAATTAATGGTGCTATCCGATCGACTTCAGTGTCTACTTCGTCATCAGTGAGTTTTCCTTGCTCACTTAGCTTCCAGGCTAAATAGGCTAACAGAATTCTCTGCATTGCCCTCTTGAAAGCATCCAGATCTATCTCGTAATAACGAGCTTCTGGTGTTCTTCGCGAAACAGGCGGTTGATATCCAAGTACTCCTGAGCTTATTAATCTCTGAATATATTCTGGATTGATAGCCAACGATAAGTTCAGTCCGTGGGGACGGTTTCCGTAGCTGCATCATCAGTCCTTGGGCGCTTGGAGCCTGGTATTGGGATCATAGCAGATTAGCTTGTATTATGAATATGATTTACTTTATAGTGATGACTTGGTGAAAAACCCAACAATTCAAAGATAAGCGCCTGAATTAAGACTTTGTTTTCATCATCATAAACGTTTCACAAAGCGATTTGAGTTGCTTCACTAGGAGACAAACAAGACTGTAAGTGCTTTATACGGGCAAATTATTAGGTGAGGACATAGGACAGAGAGAATCATTCAGATTTCTTTCTGTTTACATTAAAAGCGCAATCAAAGCACAGTTACTATAGCAGCTACGCTTTGATTGTGCTTTTATTATAGACAGAGATAAAATCGGACGGTTCTCTCTGTCCGCACCTAATAATTTCTCTTTATACAAATGCTCACCTGGGATTGGAACAACATCATTTCCTTGATGAATGACCCAAGCCAAAGCTAATTGAGCTGTTGTGCATTGAAGCTTTGCAGACAATTTCTCTAACCACAAATAAAGTTTCTTGTTTTCCTCTAGATTTTCTTCACTGAATCTTGGATGTGAATTCTGAGATAGAAACTGATAAACAAAAGCGCATTATAATTTCTACGGCCTATGATTATATAAGAGAATCACATTGACTAATTCAATAAAAGCAATACCAGTGAACTATTGGCAGGCACACTTCCAAGAACTGCTTTACCACCAAAAAAGCCACGACCAAGAGGGCTATATGTGACTATTCCAATTCCAAGCTCTCTACAAAATTGACAAGAAAATGTGTATTTAAATATAGATGCACACCAAACAATTAGTAAGGTCAAAATGCCCAAAGAACAAAATCCTACTTCCTTTATGTTTTCTTGATTCCAATCTTTGATCTATGCTTAAAAAAAGTGCAAGTATTTGAGAAAGGTAATGAGAGAGAGAAGAAGACGAGCGTCAGGAGCGGAAGAAATGCTAAACAGAGGAAAGAAAGGAAAGTATTATAATGTCTTAGAAAGGTTACAGTGAGTCTTTAAATAGACTCAAGTACAGGTAATTAAGTAAATACGAGGAAATAATTCATTTGCTAACAGCCTCCCTCAAATTAAGCATTCGGTGATTGAATGGTTAATTTGGATCGTAGATTGTTGAAGCGAGTGATTGAGAATGGCTTTGTTAAGATGTCCACGACTTGATTTTCGGATGAGATGTGCTGAAGGGAGAAGTCGCCGGAGTTGAGATGTTGCCGGATGAAGTGATAATCTATCTCGATGTGCTTTGTTCTTGCATGAAAGATCAGGTTCTTGGCAAGAGCAATTGCGGATACATTGTCACAGTATATAACCGTTGGTGAGTCTTGTGGAAGTAGGAGCTCGGAGGCGAGTCGACGTAGCCAGAGTACGTCTGAGGTGGCAGCGGATAGTGCCCGATACTCAGCTTCCGTTGATGATTTGGCAACGTATACTTGTTTCTTGACTGTCCAAGATATTAGATTAGGACCCAAGAATGTACACAACCCGGAGACGGATTTCCTATCTGTGTGATCTGAAGCCCAGTCGGCATCAGTGAACGTCCGGAGGGTGAGATCGCTCGGGATGAGAGGTAGTCCGTAGGAGATGGTGCCTTTGATGTAGCGGAGGAGTCGCTTGAGGTCTTGGTAGTCTTGATCGGTGGGTCGGTGCATCTGTTGACAGATGCGGTTGGTGGCGAAAGCAATGTCCGGTCTTGTGATCGATAGGTATTGTAGTGCTCCGGCTAGGCGTCTGTATTGTGAAGGGTCGGCGAAGGGCTTTGTTGTATCTGTTTTGTGAGTTTTGTTCGGAGCGAGAGGTGTGGGAGATGCCTTGCAGTCCTCAAACCCGTTGTCTTTGAGCAGTTTTGCTACGTAGTGTTCCTGCGTGAGGAAAATGCCATTATTAGTGTGCAGCACCTGAATTCCTAGAAAGAGGGAGATATTGCCGAGCTGTTTGAGAGCGAAGTTGGATTGGAGGTCGTGTAGTAGGGACCGAATGGAGGCTGGGTTGTTTCCTATCAATAGAATGTCATCTACATAAATTAGTAGGAAAATATGTAAATTATTTTGATTGAATATGAGTAAAGAAGGGTCAGAACGACTGAACCGGAAGCCTCGTGTTTGTAGAAATGAGGTTAGTTTTTGGAACCACTGACGTGGTGCTTGCTTGAGGCCATACAGCGATTTGTTGAGCTTGCACACGTGGTCTGGAGAGGTTGTGTTGGTGAAGTCAGGTGGCTGATGCATATAAATGTCGTTCGGTAGATCGCCGTGAAGAAAGGCGTTGGAGACGTCCAGTTGTTGTATTTGCCATTTCCGGTGAATGGCGAGGGTGAGAAGAAGCCGGATGGTGGGCATCTTGGCCACCGGACTAAACGTTTATGTGTAGTTTTCGCCATAGATTTGATTGTAGCCCAGAGCTACTAGACGTGCTTTGTAGCGGTCAACTTTGCCGGAGGGCAGCATCTTTGTTTTGAATGTCCATTTGCATCCAATTATTGGTTTGTTCGGCGGAGGGGGCACTAGGGACCAAGTCCCTTGGGTTTGTAGAGCGTGCTATTCTTCAGCCATGGCTTGACGCCAATGATCCTGTTTGAGCGCCTGGATGTATGTAGTAGGTGTTGGTGGGGTGCTCGCGCTGCTTAGAAGAGACAGTATCTGCTTTGGTTTTGAAATGTCGGATTTGGATTTGCTGGTCATGTGGTGAATGGTGTTGGTTGGCTTATTGGGAGCGGTGGTGGTGTTGGTTGTGTGGCTGTGAGAGTGAGCTGTGTCTGTGAGGGTGCTGGCCAAATTTGGTGGTTGGTCAGAGGAGTGACCATGGGTTTTGTGGTGCGGGAGGTACAGGAGGTTGGGATTAGGAGTAGTGGTGATGTGTTGGGATTAGGTGGTGGATGCTGTGAGATGTTTTCTGAGATGAGTGAGGTGTAGGGAAAGACATTTTCTTTAAAAATGACATGTTGGGATATTTGAGTTTTCTTGGTTTTAAGGTTGTAGCACTTATACCCTTTATGATTCGGTGAGTAGCCAATGAATAGGCAGTCGGCGGAGCGGGGAAAAAATTTGTTGGCGGTGTAGAGTTGAAGCCAGGGATAGCACAAACACCCAAAGGTGCGGAGTTGTGTGTAGTTGGGTATCTTGTTATAAAGCTTTTGATAGGGGGATTGCTGTTTTAGAGAGGTGGAGGGGAGCCGGTTTATTAGGTAGTTTGCTGTAGCGGTTGCTTCGGCCCAAAATAGATTTGGGAGAGTTGCGGCATGAAGAAGCGTTCGGGTAAGATCGAGCAAATGACGATGCTTCCTTTCCGCTAACCCATTCTGTTCCGAAGTGTGAGGGCAGCTTCGTTGATGTATGATGCCATTATTTTGGAGAAACGTTTGAAAAGCGGTGCTGATAAATTCGCTACCTCCATCTGAACGAAAGATCTTGGGAGTGGTAGAGAATTGGGTGCGAATTAGACTGCAAAAAACTTGAAATTTTGAAAACTTTTCGTGTTTTGAATGCATAAAATAAATCCAAGAGAAACGAGTACAATCGTCAATGAAAATCACGTAATAACGGAAACCATCTAAAGAAATTTGTTGTGCCGGTCCCCACACATCCGAGTGTATTAATTCGAACGGTGTGGTGGATTCGGTGATTCTTTTATTAAAAGGAAGTTTGTGACTTTTAGCCACAGTACACGATTTGCAAAAAGAAGAAAATTTGAGATTCTTGCATTCCGGTATAAGGCGAGCAATCGTAGGAAGAAGTTTATTGTTTGGATGTCCGAGATGAGCATGCCAGGTTTGTGATGTATCTGCGTTTGCTTGTAAAGCTACGTGTTGATCCTCCGGTGCCTGTTGTATGTGGTAGAGTCCTTTATGAAGGTGACCACGAAGTAGAAGATGATTGTCCAGAGAATCCTTAATTTCAAAACCGTTAGTGTTGAAAGTAATAGAAATAGAGTTATCAAAGATTAGTTTTGAGACGGAAAGAAGATTATGCGTGAGAGAAGGAACGTCTAATATATTACGTAACCGGAGCTTACGGGGAGTGTCCGGTAACGACAGTAGGCCTTGACCGGAGCTCTATATTGGCAATGTGGAGCCGTTGGCAATGGACACTGATTCTTGGCCGGAGTAGGGATACGACTGTTGAAGCTGATTCATGTTCGGCGTGAGATGCGTTGTGGCCCCTGTATCAAGAACCCAGTCTTGATTCCTGTAAGGAGAGGGTTGTGCTAGTAGAGCTTTGGGTGCGGTGGCTGGAGCGTATTTTTGAGTGTATCTATGCCAGCAATTTAATGCACTATGCCCTATTTTTCCACATATTTGGCATGTGGGACGCTGATTTTGAGGTGAAACCGGAGTGGTGCTTTGAGTAGCTGAAGGCATCATAGTGAACGGAGTGTTCTTGTTCCAGTTTGTGCATCGCTGTGGGCGTCCTCTGGATTGATTTGAGGAATTGGTGTAGAGAGCGGTTGCGGAAGAAGTGGATTGATCTTTTTGAATTTCTTGATTGACATGGATCTCCTCGCTGCAAAGTAGTGAGTAGAGATTGTCAAGATCGGCAGGTAGCGGTTGGAGGGCTGTAGCCGGCATTCAAGAACGAGCCAGATTTCGTTTGTCGTCGTGGCGGTGATGACATAGGGAAGTATCGACGGTGAAATGGTTGAGAATAGGGCAGAGATCAAGTTGCTGTCGATTAGTCTCCAGCGTGCTGATTCTGGAGATTTTTCATCAGGCGGCATTGGTTGGGTACCCGGGAGATGCCCTGCGTAGCCATTCGCTGTGAATTGTTGGAGAATCTGGATGCGCCAGATGGCGTAGTTGTCCGCATTGAGCGGATGGGGAAGAAGGTTCTTGATGTTAGAAACCAAGAACTTTAGTGGCGCCGGGATGCAAACGTCCGTGTGATCGTTGGCCGGATTGGAGGAGGAAGAGGGAGGGAGGGAGGAAGTAGAGCTTTGATCCCCCATTAGAGGCTCTGTGATACCATGAGAAAGGTAATGAGAGAGAGAAGAAGACGAGCGTCAGGAGCGGAAGAAATGCTAAACAGAGGAAAGAAAGGAAAGTATTATTATGTCTTAGAAAGGTTACAGTGAGTCTTTAAATAGACTCAAGTACAAGTAATTAAGTAAATACAAGGAAATAATTCATTCGCTAATAGTATTTACAGGGAATTCATTCTTTTGTTTATTTACATTTAAAGATGATTCTGCGGGTATTAGCTATTATGATATTCTTGATAGTAGAGAATTATATCTCTGTTTTATAAATCACTGAAAAACAAGAATGATGTTTGATATATCATCAAAGATTCATCTTGATCGGGCAGAAATCTCGAGGCAAAACCAAATTGGAAACTTTTCAAAATTAAATCGGAGACCATCTGATTTCTGATTTCAGCAAACTTACAGTTGAACTGAACGTCTCGAAAATACCAACCCAACGACACCAAATTCGACTCAATCTGATCCCACGTGAGACCAAATCAAAGACCCGAAGCGCATTTGGAAGGTTCAAATCATAATTTGGATTGTCAAATGGATTCCAAACATGACATACTTATAGTTGAATGGAGCGGCTCGACGAGACAAATCCATCGAGCAAAAGATTGCTGAATTCTGATATCATTAAGACATTAAAATGTCTAGTAAATAGTCTACGATCAAGGGATCCAACATCGGCCGTTCATTCAAAGTTTCAAACCACTCCCAATTTACCCTTGATCTTCTTCCTATTTACTGGTCATGCCACTATCAGAAAACTATAAATAGACCCCCTCATTTCTCATGAGCGCGCGGGGATCAAGCAAGAAGAAAAGAGAATGGAGCAAGGAAGAAGAGAAGAGAAGAAAGCAATAAAGCAAGAAGGAAATGAAGAAAAGAAAGAGAAGGAAGATAACTCTCTTGCCACCAGACTCCTCCTCGACTCTCGTCGGACTTCCACCCGACAGCAGACTGACACCAGAGTTCGGCCCGACTGTTGACTGACGTCGGAGTTCTACCCGACCACTAACTGACGTCGTAGTTCTGCCCGATCGCCGACTGACGCCAGAGTTCTACCCAACCGTTGACTGATGCCGGAGTTCTGCCAGACCACCCCCTGACGCTTGAGTTCTGCTCGACAGCCAACTGACGCCAGATTTCTGCCTGACCGTCAATTGAAGCCGGATTTTTGCCCAACCACCAAACTTCGCCGGATTTTTTATCTCCGTTTGTAACTGTATTTTAAATTGATTGTTGATTATTGTAATCTGATCGTCCTCAATTTCAGGGATGAGTAAATCACTTGTAATCCAATAAAAACACTAGCGGAATCATTTCAACTGGGCGTAGCCTCGTGTTTTTTCCCTTTTCCAAGGCTTTTCACGTAAAATTCTAATGTTCCTCTTTTCTTCTGTTTGTGTGATGGATATCAGTACAACGCTAAGACAAAAATTTCTAACTCTATTGCCGCTTATATTCTAGCCCGCAACAATGTTTAATGATAATCCAATCATCCAAGCCTTTAGTTCAATGATCATTACTAAAGAATAGGATAATTAACCTGTTGAATCGAAATTTTTTCTCCTCCTACAAATCAAGATGCTTACTAAAACAAACATATGATGCAGTTAAGCTATGAAAACCTAAATTGGCCAAACCTGCAAAGTGGGATTATCTCTTCTTCGATATCTCTAGTCCAGAGAGACCACTCTATTTGCAATGCACTAATTGGGTGAACAGCATGCGCTCGCCTGATTGTATCCGCACTTGCTTCTGATAGCCCTATATACTTCACCTTACCCTCCTCAACCAACCTCTTAAGTTCTCCAACCTATCACATGAGTAGGAATAAGCCATGACTGTTGAAAAAAATTAAAGATTCACAAAAGTCATAAAATTTCATGGCTGGTAGTCTCACTGCTTCTTCAATTGGCACAGTTTGATCAATACGGTGCTGATAATACAAATCAAGGTAATCCAATCCAAGCCGCTGGAGACTCCCTTCCAAGCAAGCTCTCACATACTCTGGCTTGCCATTGACGATAGGACTGCCTCCTTGATTAAGCTCTGCAATCCCAAACTTTGTGGCCAATTGGATCTTTTCTCGTGGAAGTTCCTTCAATGCCTGCAATCATTCATTTTCTTCAACAATGATAGTATTACTACCTTCTAAACTGGCAATTTTCCTCCTCTTCAAATCTTTCATTTATCATTATTAGGGACTAAGTTAATTAAGAAAGACATTAAAAGTGAAAGGGAATTGATACAGACCTTGCGAACGAGGATTTCATTGATACGGGGTCCAGAGATATCAGAGGTGTCAAAAAAGGTCATACCGTTGTTAAAAGCCTCTTTGATGATGGAAATACCCTCTTCATCAGATACAGGAGAGTTATAAATTCCAGTGAGGTCCATACATCCAAAACCTAATCTGGATACCTAAATAAGGAGAAAAAAGAATCAGCGAAGACATCTTGACAACAATGCGCGATAGGGCATCTCCAACCGAAAATGTCATTTTTCACTCCAAAATGCAGGGAAATCAAAAAAATGCCGTGTTTCATCTCCAATCCAACGCCATTTTGCCGCTAAAATGATCGTTTTCGTTGGCGCCTGGTGTGGAACCGTAACCTGCAGGGAGAAAGAACAAAGAGAACAAACGAAATAGTACAGAAATAGCAGAAACAGAGTAGGAAGAAGCAGAAGAAGGATAAGAGGAAGAAGAAGAAGTAGTCTGGAGAAGGTAAAAGCAACTTTGTATTATATCATCTACCTTCTATACCTCAGTTGGCTTCCTAATATAAGCTGCAATAAGAAAGGAAATGCAAGAAACGTTCCACATGATCAATGGAAACGTTCCACATGACCACTACTGGGCAAGGCAATAAAACAGTAACATAATAACAGAAAGTAATATAGTAGTGGAGCAGGCGGTCTGTTAGGGTAGCGGAATAGGATAAGGAAGTCCACATCAGGTTTCCCCGCGTTCAAGAATTTCCTCATCTGAGGAAATGGTTTCGATGATACCTGAATCGGAAGACTTATATGCAGAAATATCAGAAACATTAAAAGTTGCTGGTGTAAGGAACTCCGGTGGCAAGTCCACGACATAGGCATTATCGTTGATGCGGCGGATAATGGGAACCGGTCCAATCTTACGTGGGCTCAACTTAGAATAAGTTCCAGGTTGGAAGCGTTCTCTACGCATCCTGACCATGACGAGATCGCCAGGGTTGAAGACAACCCGCCGACGATGGACATCCGCAAGCTGTTTATAACTGTCATTGGCTGTTGTCAGCTTGGCTCTTATATCTTCCAGCATTTTAGTATAAGTCTCAGTCGTTTGTAAAGCTGGTTTGCTTTTGCACTTTGGGAGAATGGCGATATCAACCACATGGTTCGGAATTTTAGTGTAGACAATGCCAAATGGGCATTGTCCGGTGGACCGGTTAGCCATGGAATTATATGCAAATTCAGCTTGGCCAAGGTAATCATCCCACTGTTTTGGATGTTCGTGTGCAACACATCTTAGCATGTTTCCGAGAGAGCGGTTAACCACCTCAGTTTGGCCGTCAGTTTGAGATGGTATGATGAACTAAGTTTGATCTCGGTCTTCAAACGTTTCCACAACTCCCGCCAGAAATGACTTACAAATTTGACATCGCGATCTGAGGTAATGCTTCTTGGCAACCCATGGAGGCGGACAATTTCTTTAAAGAAGAGGATGGCCACATTTAGAGCATCGAAAGTTTTCTTACAAGCAAGAAAATGAGCCATTTTTGAAAACCTGTCTACGACGACCATGATGGAGTCGGCACCTCGCTTTGTCCGTGGCAATCCTAGAACGAAATCCATGCTTAAGTCCTCCCAGATGGAACTCGGCACCGGAAGGGGCATATACAACCCTGTGTTTTGAGATGTTCCCTTATATGCTTGGCAAATCGGACATTTTTCTACGAACCGTATAACGTCCCGCCGGAGATGGGGCCAATAAAACCTGCTTTGTAGCAGCTGGAGCGTTTTGGTTCTTCCTGCGTGGGCGGCTAGGCCACCACTATACATTTCCTGAATGAGATATTCTCGCCAGGAAGAGTCTGGAATACAGAGCAAGCCAGCCTTGAATAAATAATCATGTGACAGTGAATAGTCTTGGTATGTAGCGGCGGGGGATTTGGAGACTTCAGCCCAAGGAATTGCAAAATCTTTGTCCGCCACATACATATCCTGTAGACTTTGGAGCCCTTGTAGTTCGGTTTGTAATTGCAATACCAACGCCGTGCGTCGACTTAAAGCATCAGCGACACGATTTTGCACCCCGGACTTATGTTTCAGGACGAAACTAAAACGCTGCAAGAACGTAATCCACCTGGCGTGCATCTTATTTACTGTCTTCTGACTGTTAATAAATTGGAGCGCGTGGTTGTCACTGCTCAAGATGAAATCCTGGTGGAGCAAGTAATGTTCCCATTGTTTTAATGCCCGGACAACCGCGTATAATTCTTGCTCGTATGCGGACCAGTTTTGGCGGGACGGACTCAATTTTTCGCTAAAAAATTCAATGGCTCGTCCTTCCTGTGAGAGCACAGCTCCAATCCCCACAGCCGAAGCATCTGTGTCGACATGAAATGGTTTGTCAAAGTCTGGGATAGCCAATATCGGCGCTGTAGTGAGGGCTTCTTTCAATGTGTCAAAGCTATTTTGTAATTCTTGGGTCCAAATTAAGGATTTGTCCTTAAGACAATCTGTAAGAGGTGCCGCAATGATGCTGAAGCCGCGAATAAACCTCCGGTAGAAGTTTGCCAGCCCGATGAAGCTCCAAACTTCTGGGATTGATTTGGGGTTCGGCCATTCTGCTATGGCGTGAACCTTTTGTGGATCGGTGAGTATGCCGCGGTTGGAGATAATAAATCCCAAGAAGTGAACAGATCCTGTTGCAAACTCACATTTAGGAAAGTTAAGGAAGAGTTTGTGAGCTCTTAAGATTTCGAAAACAGATATAAGATGCTCAAGGTGAGTTTGCGGGGAAGGACTAAAAACCAGGATGTCGTCAAAGTAGACGACACAACACTTCCCAAGAATGGGCTTCAGGACCTCATTCATTAGTCGCATGAACGTTGCAGGAGCATTGCACAGCTCGAATGGCATGACTCGCCATTCATACAACCCTTCTAGCGTCTTAAACGCTGTTTTCCACTCGTCGCCGGGTCTGATGCGGATTTGATGATATCCGCTGCGCAAATCAAGCTTCGAGAACACAGTTGCTCCTACAAGTTTATCAAGCATATCATCGAGGCGAGGTACCGGAAAACGGTATTTTACTGTTATTTTGTTGATGGCCCGGCTGTCGACGCGCATTCGCCAACTTCCATCCTTCTTTGGTACCAATAGCGCGGGAACGGCACAGGGGCTGAGGCTAGGTTGAATCAAGCCCTTGTTTAACTGTTCTTCAATCATTCTTTGCAGTTTTTCATGTTCCCGTGGACTCATACGGTGATGAGGAAGGTTCGGAAGTGTAGCACCGGGTTGCAGATCGATTTGATGCTGAAGGCTGCGCAATGGAGGTAAGGAGGCTGGTAACTCCTCTGGCCAGATGTCCGCAAATTGGTGAAGCAGGGTTTGAACCTCTGTTGGTAATTCCATGAGCTTGCTATCCGGGTGGGAATCGGCTATCATAAGTGCGAGCATGTCACAAGATTCTAGCCATGAACTAATGAGAGTAGGTCCTGAGACAATAACCATAACAGCTTTTTCCGGATTTTCCTTGTTTTCCACATTAGACAAATTCGGCCACAGCCTGATCTTCCGATTCTTCCAATCAAAGGTAAAAGTGTTTGTCCGTCCATCATGAATGGCTCCGACATCGTACTGCCAAGGTCGGCCAAGAATCAAATGACAGATGTCCATATCAAGAACATCACACAGGACTTCACAAATGTAGCTTTTCCCAATAGAAAAAGATACTCGGCACATCTCAGACACCGGAATCTCAACGCCCTTCTTGACCCAACTAATTTTGTAGGGATTCGGATTCTTTGTGGTCTTTAGTTGAAGCTTCTGAACTACAGAACGGGCTATAATATTTTCGGTGCATCCTCCGTCAATTAATAGCTCACAGACTTTCCCGTTAACAGTGCATCTAGTACGAAAAATGGCATGTCGTTGGGAAGTACCCGGTTGACGCGGAGCAATTAATAATTTCTCCATAACACATACTAGTGGATCTCCTTCATCAGCTTGTAAATCCTCAAAATCTTGCTCGTTTACTGTCTCCACACCGTACTGATCATTCTCTAGCTCCCCATCCATAAATTGAAGCTGCTGACGGTTGGGGCAGTCATTGGACTTGTGCCCCGGCTGAAAACATCGATAACACTTAAGTGTTGTTGGCTTAGTATAAGGATTGTTCTCCCGCGCTGGAAATCGTGGTCGCAATGCAGATGGTGCTTTTGGCTCTGCCCCAAGGATTCCAGCACCCCCAGATTGCGGTGTAGTCGGTTTGTTAACAACAGGGATGGTTGCAGGAGTCTTATTTACGTCTCCCGTGAGCTCTGTGCTGTACCGGCGTGGGGCTTGAGTTCTCGGATGCCTATTGAGCTGAATCTCCGCCTTAAGAGCGTAATTCACTGCCTGTGATAATGTCCATACGGCATTGAGTTCCAATTTGTCTTGAATGCTCTCCCTTAATCCTCCAATGTAACGAGCGACAAGTTGATTTTCAGACTCATTGAGATCATTTCGGGCACTAAGTCTATAGAACTCCTCTGTATATTCATTCACCGTTCTATTACCTTGTGAGCAATGCTGATATTGGAGGTAGAGCATTTGTTCAAAATCTGTAGGTAGGAAATGTCCTCGCAATAGTCGCTTCATCCGGTACCAGCTAGTGATTCTGCCCTTACCTTCCCGCCGCCTCGTTTGCAACAATTGCAGCCATGCACCAAGCTCCGGCTCCGCCTTTTAAACGACAGGCAACATATTTCACCTGTTTTTCAGGTGCAATTTCCATGTAGTCAAAGAAAGTTTCAACTGCTCTTTCCCAATCCAAATAATCTTCTATGTTCAGTCTGTCGTCGAAGAAGGGGATGTCTAATTTCACACGGAATTCTCCATGTGAATGTTGATGTCCAGATTGTCGTCGGGGTGTGCTGTAGTAATTCGGTCGGTCTTCTTCAGCTGAATCAGAGGCGTCCAGAAACTGCTGCGCATCTGCCTCATTATCGGAATCAGACGCATTCTGAGGTGTTGTGTGTTGTCGTTGTCGGTGGAGATTTCGTGGCAACGGAATAGGTGCCGGTGCCGGTGCTAATGGACGATTCAACACCGGCAGTTGCCGATTTGCTCTCAGCGCTCGAATTTCTGTCCGCATTTCTGTGGAAAATCGGAAGAATTCATTAGTGAGTACCTCCATTTGAAGTGCGATAGACGTCTGAGCGTTCCAGAGGGCTTCCAGACTTCGATCCTCATCAACGGATGGCCGTTTGCTTCCTTCCGCCATTGATGCTCACAACCAAGCTCTGATACCAATATGGTGTGGAACCGTAACCTGCAGGGAGAAAGAACAAAGAGAACAAACGAAATAGTGCAGAAATAGCAGAAACAGAGTAGGAAGAAGCAAAAGAAGGATAAGAGGAAGAAGAAGAAGTAGTCTGGAGAAGGTAAAAGCAACTTTGTATTATATCATCTACCTTCTATACCTCAGTTGGCTTCCTAATATAAGCTGCAATAAGAAAGGAAATGCAAGAAACGTTCCACATGATCAATGGAAACGTTCCACATGACCACTACTGGGCAAGGCAATAAAACAGTAACATAATAACAGAAAGTAATATAGTAGTGGAGCAGGCGGTCTGTTAGGGTAGCGGAATAGGATAAGGAAGTCCACATCAGCGCCTTTCTTCCCAAGCTGTTCGGTAGAGAGAAGAAAATGCCGCAGATGAACAGTGCAACGCCAATATTGGCGTCGCACTGTTCATCCGCGATCAAATGGCGTCAAAAATGGAGATCGGTTGGAGCAAAGCAAGAACGGCAAACAAGTGTTTGCCGTTCGGTTGGAGATGCCCTATCATACAAAGCCAAGGCTTAAGAAGTGCTCTATTTCTCAAAGAGCAGTTTTTTTCCATCAAAAGAAATTGAAAAAAAAAATGTACAAATTAAAATAGAACTTCCAAGTAAAAAAAAAAAAAGAAAACTTCAAAGAATGAGTTTGTTACCTCTAATCCCTGGGTTCCCAGCTTCACTCTGGGTATTAGGATTTCGCTTTGTTCTCCCATTTCTCGTAAATCTATGAAGTTGAAGGCCCTGCAAGTAAAAATCAGCGTTTATTTTCTCTTACGACTAAATTTAAGCTTTGCTTCGAGTTACAGGCAAGCGATAGTCGTCGGGCTCTGAATTTAAAGAGTACTGGTTTGACGACCGATGGCGAGCTTACTTGCCAGAGGGATCGGTGAGGAAGCCCTTGCGAAATGTTAATTCACTCACTATCGCTTTGATTTTTTTTTTCGTTCTAAAAATGATGATGTGTATCAAAAGAAAAATAGAGAGAGAAAATATACTAAAACTATCACATTACAATTTTTTTCATATAAATATTTCAATACATTGAGATTTTTTTAAAATATAATTTGATTAGTGTAGTATTGCCCTTCAGTTTAATAGTTTTGGCCATACTTTAATATTGTTTTGCTACTTCTTTTAATTTCTTATTTTGAAAAATTAATATTTATGTCAGGAAAAAAAATATATTTATTTATTTAAGAAAATAGCATGTTTTTAAAAACTTTGAAATTATCATATGAACTTTTTCTGTTTGTTTGTTTTAAATAAATATCTATTATAAAAATAAGATATATGTCATCCACATGTTGAGACAAAACGTAAAGCTTAGCATGCCAGTTGATCAAAGATCAAATTGGCTATCCTATCAGTTTTGAAATTCAAAGGCTATACATAAACATAAATATAAATCTCAATATGCAGAAAAATTGAATAACAACTTTATTACTTATCCGCTAAAAGTTTAAAGATTGAATCGAAAACTTTGTTTCGGATGGCTTTCTTTCTATTACTTAAAAGTAATTTTATAATAAAAAATTTTGTGTAATAAACAACCGCTTTAAGAAGTAAAAAGAAAATTATCCCAAATGAAACATAACTATAAAACTTGATATATTAGGAAACTAAAAAATATATTAACGCCCCCGATTTGTAAACCTAAAAACTAAGTTTATGAAACTATAATTCTTTATACAACTAAGATTAAATTCTTCTACGCTTAAATATATATAAAGCTCGATGCGCCCAAAGATCAATCTTGCAACTCTTTTTTAGTAAGCCCACAGGTCAAGCCTAAACATATAAAGCTTAACATGGGGGGGGGGGATTACACTAAAATAATACAAATTTCTATTCAAACTCAAACATAAGTCATCTATCTTTATACCAACACATGCATTGGATTGGATTATTACACTCCACCTATTAAGAGTTCATTTATTAGTCTCATTTTTTATCACACATATGAGTTTTATCGTTAAGCATACTCTTTGGTTATTTTTTGAGTCACACCCTTAGGGGGTGTTTGGTATCAGATTTACTTGTCGTTTTGAGTTGGATTTACGGTACACCCAGCCAAACGCAAATCCAGGCGCTGTAAATTCGGCAAATTCGTAAATCCAGGATTTGCGGATTTACGTCATAAATCCGGTAAATCCTTGTAAATACATTTCTACTTGGGATTTAATACAACTTACACTTGCTGAGGAAGAGAGTATTTACGAAATTTGGTCAAAGAAGCGCGCGAAAGGGATAAAGTTACCTTCACAACGAGCGAGAGAGCTCCCGTCGTTGCTTGATCAGATCAAAATGTTGTAACTTCCGTTCCTACAGAAGGGAACGTCATCAAAGGAGCGAAGTCGAACAGCAATGAAGGAGCCGAAGAAGCGACTCGTACAATCTCTACACCTCCTGCGAAGCAGAGAAGCCGAACAGCAAGGACGAACAAGAGAAGATAAAAAAGCAAATCGTAGACGCCTCAGCCATTACCGAATAACTTAATTAATATATTTTAAAATATTAATAGCTGAGTAAATTAATTAAATAATTAATAGTATAAACTAATTATCTAAATTAACTTAAAATAAAAAATTAGTATAATTGTCTTAATTAATATAATTTAAAATATTAATAACTAAGTAAATTAATTAAATAATTAATATTACAATTAGTGTATAAATTAAGTATCTAATTTAACTTAATTAAATAGGTAGTAATATAATTAGTATTTAAAAATTAGTATAATTATATTAATAAATATAATTTAAAATATACATTATTAAACTATTTTAAATCTCCAACTATAAATCTTGTAATATGTTGCCAAACAAGTTCTCTGAATTTAACAGGATTTTAAAGTTATCATTCAAATATAATTCAGGATTTATGAGCCTAGAATTTACTAAATGCGAATTTACATGATGTAGTTAATCCTACTAAGATTGAATCAAATCTGATACTAAACACCCCCTTAATTTAATTATTGTGATTCCAATACACCAAACAATTTAACCTTATAAAACCCCCAACATGTTCAAATCTATGAGAAATTAATAAGTGCTGTCATCGTTGTTCGGAGGCAAATCAGGTCATCGTTGTTCGGAGGCAAATCAGGACGTGCTATATCACCATAATTTAGCAACAAAAAAAACTTTCGCCGCTAAAAGTCTCAGCAACGAGCCTACTGAAACAAATAAGGAACCCAGCATTTTTTTATCCCTAAAGATTAGCTACCATATTATTTTTAATATGGATCAATTTTGATGTTCGATAATAACTTTTTTTCTGGTAGCTAGGGTTGAAAATAACCTTCGCAAGCTTTGTTTTTTATTTTTAGAGTGGAGCTGGTTGAACTGAGCTAACTTGACCATATCACCAAAACAATGAGTACAAGAAATTGAAGCTCTCATAATATTGTGGGGCTTATTTGTCTTATTGATTTATAAGCGTGTTAAAGCCGTATATAATCAAACAAGCTAATCTCTAGTCTTAATATTCCAATCCAAATGGTCAGCCAATGAGTTCATGGCAGTCTTTCCATCATCAGTAGATCAAGCTGCTATATATGCAATACTCCTTCCCAGATTTATTCATCCATTTACATTAAAGCGCAATTTAATCCATTATATTAATATACCCAAGTAGGCTGTTCATTCTTTTACAATTAAAGATCTCATCAACTCATATTAATTACTGAGTTTTGATTATACAGAGAAGTATGACAGAACGTACAACAAGAGTACTACAACAAAGAAGCCTAGACAAGAGGGCCACCCTTAACATACTCAGTGACAGCAAGAGCAACAAGCCCCAGCATAGCAAACCGGCCGTTCCATATCTCCGCCTCAGCTGTCATGGGCGCATTGGACCGGTCCGGCGCGTCCACGCCGCGAAATAACGGAACCAGCGACGCCACCGAGAGCAACGCCGCCGCGCCGGCGAACCAAAACACGCCGCCGTTTGCGAGCTGAGCTGCCAAATCCTCTCCTGCAGCTAACTCGACTGCCATGGCGGAGACGAACCCGACCATAGCAAGCCGGCCGTTGATCCGCTCAGGGCCCGGTCCGCTGAACGACAGCGCTTCCCAGAAGGTTTTGCCCTTGGCCTGCATGTGTGAAGAACAAGAACCCATCTTTCTAAGTAAAAAACGTACGCGTTATTTTATTCATCTACTTTTTTTAAGGAATTGATAGATTAATTACTTTGAGTTCTTGTTTTGCTTCCGGTATCGCTTCTCGAAGGTTGACGGCGGGTCCGGATTCGGCATCCTGATCAGAGTTTTCCTGTAAAATCTGTAGTTTAGAATTTTTACATAATCTGTAATTTGGAAGCCCGAGGAGGGGCCTGAATGTAAATAAGAGAGTGGCTGCGATCATCACCTTTGCCTGGCACTGGAAGGTGCTGCCACCGACGGCCGCTGTGCTGCGGTGGTGCAAAGATAGTAGAGATGGTGCCTTACTTCGTATGAAGATGCCACGTGGCGTGATTCCGGTAGCGTAGGACGGTGAAACGGCGAACACTGTTGCAGCCATTTCAATGTTGGAACCCTCGAAGTTTAGAATGAAGAGTAATGGTGCTGTTGAGGATTGAAGAGCTTTACTAAAATGGTTGGTTCAGTGGAAGAAGATGGAAGATGAAATAAATAGAGAGAAACAGTGAACGGGACGGTGGTTTGATGCGGTTTAAGAGAGGCCACGTCGGCTGAAGAACTGGGCCAAGCGATCGGAGTTACGTGGACGCTAGTCTTGCCACGTGACGTGGTCCTTCGCATGGCCAACACTTTAAAGGCGCTTTTGTTGGTTCCAGAATATTCTAGAAATTACGGGTGATCTGTTGGTTGGGCTAATGGACTTTACGGGTCCACAGTACAAACTCGGTATGTTCTGACCATACCAACCACCTCCGAAGGTTGATTTTTTTTTTTTTTGGAAAATTTAGAGCAAAGCATGTATATTAAATTGAAGAGAAGGTTACAATGAATCACAAAATAATAAAATGTTATCAATGAAGTAAAATATGAGATTAAATGTCACTCCCTTTAGTTTGTTGGTTGAACGTAGGGTGTCATATTTTGACAAGACCTGAAACCCGACCCGGACCCAACTTGGAAAAATCCTGGTTCGGGCCGACTCGCTTAGCAAACGGGTCGAGTTTGGGTTCGAAAATATTTGACTCGTTTGAAATAATGGGTCGGGTTCGGGTTAACCCGGAAACTCTAAATCAACCCGAAGTTGACCCGGGTCTGGTTTTATTAGCCCAGCCTAGTCGGCTTCTTGCTTCCGCGGCTCCGCCCTAGCCTGCTTAGCGTAGTCCGACACGAGCCCACCTTCGGCTTCGGACTCCCCAAGGGCCGCGCGACATGCTTCAGCAGTCCCCAGGCACCGCCGTAGTCCACCATACTCAATGCGAGCACGCACACCTCCGTGGCTCCGTAGTTCACATACGCGGCGCGAGATCCACCCGGAAGCCCCAACACGGCAAAGAGGTCGAGTCCCAATACTCCCACACGTGTGTCAACCCGGCAACCAAAACGAGATCCATTTTCGTGCGGGGTCGTGTCAAACCGGCAACCCGGCGGGTCAGTTCCGGGTTGCATTTTCAGACCCGTTTTTAAAAACGAGTCAAAAACGGATCAGGTTCAAGTAGTGTCAGATAACATCGGGCCAGTTCCGTGTTCGACCCGAACCTGACCCGTTGATCTGAATTGACACCCCTAGTTGAATGCTGATCATTCAAGTGATTTATGTGAGTTTGTTTTAATTATTGATCTAAATATGCCAAAAACATAAAAGTTTAATTATTGAACATGTGTAATTTAGGATAAAAGAATGGATTATGAAGCATGAGGAATAAAAATAAATAACATGTATAACAAAAGAGTAATTAGGAGATTTTATTTTTAATTTTGGCAAGTTAATTAAGCATGAGGTTTGGGATTTAAACTAGCTTATATTCCATAATTTAATTTCCAAAATTTTTAAACAACCTTAAATTTGTTAAGGCTTGACCTTGAAACTCATAAGCATCATTATGCTATCTTGAAGTTCATAGGTTAGTCATCTTTAGGTCATTTAAATTATTCTAAAAAATGCAACAGCCAATTAAATCACCCAAAATTTCAATTCCAACTAGTGGTCTAAATAAGTCTAGTTAAATAGTGGTCTTATTGAGCTCGGCTCGACCTCGAGCTTGTTCCATTGTAAACGAGCTCGAGCCAGTTCGAAAGCTTCAACAAGATTCTTAAAATTTATATGATATATAAAAATATTTAAATTTAATAGATATATTTAGCATTTATAATTTTTTTAATATTTAAAATAAATAAAATAAAATAAAATTATTTAAAAAATATTAATAATTATTGAGCCGGCTCACAAGCAGAGTCTCATCAAGTTCAAACTCGAGCCCGACTCATGAGCTCAATAAACTCAACTTGTAATTCCTTAAACGAGTCGAGCTCAAGCCGACTTGGCTCACTTACAATCCTAATTCCATCAAAAAAGAGTAAAGCTCCAAAACAAAACTTTACATGTTCAAAGACCAAGCTTATATTAATTATTTGCTATTTCTAACAATAAAAAGTTGGAACTAAATTCTTTTTGCTACTTTAAGCAATTTTTTAATAAAAAAAAATATATGTACTAAAAAATACATTAATAAAAAAAAACTGTCCAAAAAAACCTAAATATAAAACTTAATAAAACTAAAAAAATATTAACGCTCACTATTTGTAAATCTAAAAAATAAGATTTTATATAGTGCAATTTTTATAATATTTTTAAAGTAGCTTTTTAATAAAAAATTATAAATAAAAAAAAAAGATTATACTAATTTTTTTTTTTAGAAAGCAAGAAGAGATTCGTCCAAAATAAAACCTACGTTTATTAAACTATATTTTCATTATATTTATATCCCCAAGTAGGTTGTACATTCTTTTACAATTAAAGATCTCATCAACTCATATTGACTACTGAGTTTTGATTATACAGAGAAGTATGACAGAACGTACAACAAGACTTCTACTACAAAGAAACCTACACAAGTGGGCCGCCCTTAACATACTCAGTGACAGCAAGAGCAACAAGCCCCAGCATAGCAAACCGGCCATTCCATATCTCCGCTTCAGCTGTCATGGGCGCATTGGACCGGTCCGGCGCGTCCACGCCGCGAAATAACGGAACCAGCGACGCCACCGAGAGCAACGCCGCCGTGCCGGCGAACCATAACACGCCGCCGTTTGCGAGCTGAGCTGCCAAATCCTCTCCTGCAGCTAACTCGACTGCCATGGCGGAGACGAACCCGATCATGGCAAGCCGGCCGTTGATCCGCTCAGGGCCCGGTCCGCTGAACGACAGCGCTTCCCAGAAGGTTTTGGCCTTGGCCTGCATGTGTGCACAAGTAGAACCCATATTTGTAAGTAAAATAGGGATATATTATGCATTTTTAAAAGGATAATTTTTTAAACTAGATATTATTAAAATTTTAATAATGTAATTAAGTATCAAAAAATAAATTTAAGAATAGACAAAGTCGTCCATCAACCAGGCGACTTATGCTGACTCAAGATTGAGTTATATATAAATCGCTGAACTAACTTACGACTTATTAAAAAATATTATTATTGTAATTTATCTATTAAACAGGCGGCTTGTATAGTAAATTCTAAAAATAATTTAAAATTAAAATAAGTTAAAAATATATTAAATAATATATTTAAAAATAATTAAAAATAAAAAATAAAGGAAAAGACAAAAAAATGTATTGCTAATGTAAACTATAATTTCTATATTTTAATAGAAGTTAATACCGAATTAAAAATATATATTCATCAAAATTTAATAAAAAAATTATTTATTTAACAGTATTAAAATTGTAATTGATATTTTTAATGGATAGACGTTCTGCCAAAAAATAAAGTGACAAAAAATTAATGATTCAAATTTTTTTCTTAAACACATGCTTCGAAAGTAAATAATATAACTTTTTTTAAATCTATTTTTTATTTTAATTATTTTTCAAGTATATTTATTTAATATATTTTTTACTTATTTTATTTTTAAATTATTCTCATAATTTACTGTAGTAAATCTGTCCGTTTAACAACCAACTTACAATTCTATTTTTTTTCTTAAATAAGTTGAATGTCATTTTGGCGATTGGAACATGACTTGACAAAACTGAGTGAGCATAAGTCGCACGGTTGATGGACAACTTTGCCTACTTTAAATTTTTTTTTCAACACTTAATTACATTATTAAATTTTTAATAACACCTAGTTTAAAAACTTTCCCTTAAACATAATTTATTAAATTTATTTAAAAGCTACCTGCAGGTTGAGGACGGGTCCGGATTCGGCATCCTGAGAGTTATCCTGTAAAAACCGTAGGTTAAAATTTTCATGTAATCTGTAATTTGAAAGCCCGAGCAGGGGAATGGATGTAAATAAGAGAGTGGGGCAGAGAAATCACCTTTGCCTGGCACTGGAAGGTCCGGCCACCGCCGGCTGCTGTGCTGCGGCGGTGCAATGATAGTAGAGATGGTGTCTTACTTCGTATGATGATGCCACGTGACGTGATTCCGGTCGCGTAGGACGGTGAAACGGCAAACACTGTTGTAGCCATTTCAATGGTGGTAGTGTGGAACCCTCTAAGTTTCGAATGTTAAGAGTAATAGTACTGTCGAGGATCGAAGAGCTTTACGAAAATGGTTGGTTCAGTGTAAGAAGATGGAAGATGGAAGATGGAATAAATAGGGAGAAACAGTGAACAGAACGGTGGTTTGATGTGGTTTAAGAGAGGCCACGTCGGCTGAAGAGCTGGGCCAAGCGATCGGAGTTACGTGGACGTTGTCTCGCCACGTGACGTGGTCCTTCGCGTGGCCAACACTTTAAAGGCGCTTTTGTTTGTTCCAGAATATTCTAGAAACTTCGGGTGATCTGTTGGTTGGACTAATGGACTTTACGGGCCCACAGTTCTACAACCTCGATATGTTCTGACGAATCTGACCATACCAACCACCTCCGAAGGCTGATATGCTGCTATGTTTTTTTAGTTATTTCCCATCAGGCCATCGGTTTCTCCTCTTGCAATAAAAATTATTGGAGCATGCTATACCAAAAAAAAAAAAAAATTGAATTAATTTTCTGATAAAGTATAAATTGATTATCTTCAAAATAATTTAAATGTTTGTTACCCTGATCTCTTAAATTTTGAAGATATTTTAAAAAGTTTATGGGTGTTCTTGGATCTAAAGTTTTTCATGTATGATACTTGAGCTTATTAACAAGCAAATTTAAGAAATCGGAACCCTAGACCTTTGGCTAAGTGTGGGAATTGTTAGGAAGCCATCAACGTTATCTGGCTGATGTGGATCACCACAACGTTATCATGTATCTTTTTTGTTAGGAGTGATCGAAGAAGCGAATGTTTTGATATCATGAAAGCCCTCATGACAGGCTCTTAACAGAGAGAGGAAATGAGAGATGGAGGGGAAAAAATAAGAGTATATTATTCATCTAAAGTCTGTACATGAATATTATATATAGATAACCATGATAAAGAAAGTAAAGAAGATACATTATAACCTTGCGGTGATCCACTTCAATGAGATGACATGGATGGCTTCCTAACAAGAATAAAGAAAAAGATTGTTGTGGCGCCGATTGTAAAGAACAAGAAGTAGTAAAATATTTAACAACTCAATGAGGCATGAATAATAAGGCAATAGATCTAAAATATGCTCATTCACACTTTTATTTAGGCCGAATTTTTAGTTGTTCTGTAGGAATGGTTGAGAGCAACTATTTTTTGTCGAATCTTGGCTTCCAGATATATCAGTTCCGTGTCCTTTAATTAGAGCCCATTAAATACCTATGGGACACCTATGAAGACATGCATAAATATATAGTAGTTACACGACTCCGTTTGCTATTCTTCAAAATCATCCTTAAAATTATATAGCATCTTTTTATGATAACTTCGTTGTCTTAAAGCTTCTTTTCACTTATGTTTTTGAAATTATTATCCATTATTTATATTTATTATATTATTTTAATATCATCTTCAGTTATATGGAAGGGCATTTTTCATAATGATATAATGCTCAAACTATTGTAATCCTTTTAATTTGTACATACTATATAGTTTAAGTCATTCTCAATTTAAAAAAAAAATATTTTGTATATGAGGTGTCATGTGAATAATAATACTCAAATGCTTTTAGGAATTAAAATTGCATCTAAAATTGCAACAAATTTTATATAATTCCTAAGAGTATACTTCATGGTTGGAGTTTCTCAAAAATTTTCCCACCATTTTGATTTGCATTTCTTTTTTTTACTTTTGGATGATTTTTATTTAATGGGGATAATTTTTGTGACACTTCAATATTGTGTTAGACTTCCAATACTTGGTATTAATTATTAGATTTTGATTGCTGTCATAAAATTTTTTAATTTGATTATATGATAAATGATTAGAATTTGTTAACCAAATAAAAAGCTGCCAAAGCTGTTCCACTTTCCCTGCTGGTTTCATCTACACAATACAAGTCTAATCTCATCTCTAATCTCTGTCGTTAGTTGATTACAAAATCCGCAGCGGTAACAATTTGGTTTCTTTAATTTCTTCTGGTACAAATAATATGTATAGTTCTCTAGGAAAGTAAGAAGGAAAATTATTCAGCTACATTAATTCCCTTTTTCTTCTTGTTATGTTCAGCTTTTTTTTTTTTGTAATGCAGAAAGTCAAACTAAAGAAGGTTGTATAGTAGAAATTTTAACATGGTATCAGAGCTTTTATAAGCCTCGTGGTTTCTTAGATTCTTGGATTCTTGCTCTGTCCTTGCTTGTGGACACCATATATACATGGTCTCTGAAACTTCAACGAGCAGCAATAATGTGAATGATGTCCTACTAGTTGGTGGTTCTCCTATACCTCCTCAACTTAAATTCTTGATGTGTAGGATAAAAAAATGTTATTTCAATACAACTGATTTCGGATAACCATCTTATCTGATGAGGTCAAGTACTCAAGCTTTTTAGAACAAATATATTTGAAGGTTATCTGGACGGATCGGTCACTAGTCCTCCTCGACAAATCAATAATATCATTTTTGATATTATTGTAAATCCTCAATACAACACTTGGATGCTAGTATATCAGAATTTAGCAGCTGCTTTGCTCTCTACTATTTCTTCATCATTTCTTCTCCAATAATATTTTGCCCCTAAGTATAAAAAAGGCAGATGCTTGACGTCCATGATTTATAAATTGATTCATAGATTGATATGTGTTGGAGCAGGTGGCTCCCAACACATGATTAATATGTTAGAGAGAAATTATTTATAAGAGTAGAAGAGGATAAAAATAAGAGGAACTTCTATTATAAAATTTTTCTCTCTTACATCAAAAAGACAATACTCAATACCTTTTTATACGTATACAACGATAATTCTAGAAACATTCTAGAAATCTCCATAATAAAAGTTCAACTACCAACCACCAAAAGTTATTATATATTCTAGATATTTCTTCCATATATACAGTTTCCTAGATACACAATAAACTTGGTCATTAATTTTGGTTTATATTTCCAACACTCCCCCTTAAACCAAAATTTTATCAACCACTCTAAGAAATATCTTTAATTTTATGAACTATTCTGCAGCTAATGGCTTTGTGAAAATATATGTAATTTGATATTCAAATTTTACATACTCCACTTGAGCTTCTTTATCTTTGATCTAATTTCTTATATAATGAAAATGAACATCAATATTTTTGCTTATATTGTGATAAATTGGATTTTTTTAATTGTGAGCTTTTTATCCTTCATATGAATGTCAAATCTTTTCTCAAATAATTGCTCTAAGCTTAAAATATTGTTTTTCATATCAGGAACATAATAAACTTCATAAATAAATTGATGAGTTTCATATTTAAGAAGAATAAGGATTTTATCTTTTCCTTTTATCGAAATTTTTTAAAAGTCGCCAAAATAAATTTGACTCTCTATTGCCTCCATTTCTACGAACATATTTTAATCCCAACAAATATGATTACTTGTTCCAGTATCTAAATATCAATTATTTTCTTTTTCATCTTCTTCTCCTTTCAATACTAATAATAAAACGAGATCATCTTCCTTCTCTTTAACAAGGCTGGCTTTTTCTTGATTATGATAACAGTCGAAAGCATAATGATCAAATTTCTTGCAAATATAACAACGAATATGAGATTTTTGTACCTTTGATATTTTGGCTTTTTCTTCCGTTCTTCATTTCTTGAATTTTGATTTTCTTCATTATTTCTTTGATATCAACCACGTCCTCGGCCTCTTCCAAAGTCATGACCATGACCTCGACCACAACCTTGTATATAAATGTCTCAATCATTTGAATTATCTTTATTTTTTGTCTTTTTTGTCACATTTTAATGAGAGCTTTGATTACAAAACTTGTTTGATAGTATCCTACTTTTTCTTATTTTTTCTTTGCTCATAAGCTATTAAAGAGCCCATTAGTTCATCAACAGTCATTGTTTTTAAATCTTTAGCTTCCTCAATAGCTACGACAATATGCTCAAATTTATCATATACTGAGCGTAGAAATTTTTCTATCACTTGAATACCTTCTAATGCTTCTCCATACCTTTGTAGCTGATTGATGATAGTCAAGACTCTTGTGGAATAGTCCTCCATATTTTTTTCCCTTCATTTGAAGTGCCTCAAATTCGGCTCAAAGAGTTTGAAGTCGAATATTTTTTTATCTTGTCTATGCCTTTATATGCAACTTAAAGTATCTCTTATGCTTGCTTAGAGGTAGAAGCGCTGGCCACTTTCTCAAAGTTTCCCTCATCGAGTGCTTGATAAATGAAGAAGAACGTCTTATTATCCTTCTTTCTACTTTCTTTCACAGTTCCCTTTGGGCTGTTGATAATACTGGTTCATCTTGATACTCGACATAGCCATTCTCAACTATCTCCCAACTATCTTGTGATCCAAATAAAGCCTTTATTTGAAGACTCCAATTCTCATAATTCTCCTTTGTGAGACGAGGCACTTGTAGATTCATACTGCTTGCCATCGAACCTGGCTCTGATACCACTTGTTAGAGATAAAATGATTTGTAAGAGTGGAAGATAAAAATAAGAGGAACTTTTATTATAAAATTTTTCAAGAGTAGTCAATACTTTTTTATACTTGTACAAAGATAATTCTAAAAATATTTTAGAGATTTTCATAATAAAAGTTCAACTACTAACCACCAAAAGTTATTATATATTTTAAAAAAATTTTCCATACAATTCCTAGATACACAAAAACTTAGTCATTAATTTTAATTTATATTTCCAACATGATATGCCTACTGACAATTGAATAAGATAGTGGAATTGGTTTCCCACAGACGGCGGGCTAGAATATATGTGGCGATAAAGTTATAATTTTTTGTCTCAGTATTATACGGATATCCAGCACTCAAACAGAGGAAAAAACACACTAGAATTTTTACATAAAAAACCCTGAAAAAAAAAAAACACGGTGCCACGCCTTGTTGAAATGATTATACTAGTGTTTAAATAGATTACAAGTGTTTGCTTCATCCTTGAATTTGAGGACAATCATATTACAATAGTTAACCGTTGAGTTGAAATCTGAATGAAGATTAGATGGAAGTCCGATAATGTACGGTGGTCTGGTGAAAATCAGGTGTCAGTTGGCAGCCGGATGGAAGTCCGATGTTAGTTAGTGACGGGTGAAAGTCTGGCATCAATCGATGGCAGGGCAGAAAATTCGGCCTCAATCGATGGTCGGGCAGAAGTAAGGCGTCAGTTGGCGGTCGAGCGGAAGTCCAACAATGATTGGTGGCCGGATGGAAGTCCAACGGTGGTCGAGGAGTTTGATGGCAGGAGAACTCTTGATTTTCTCTCTTCCTTGTGAATGGATGACCGATGTTAATTCTCTTAATCATTGATTGTTTATTAGGCATTTGAATGTCTTCATGATATCAGAATTCAAAGATCTTGGGCTTGTTAGATTCGTCCTATCAAGCCTCTCGATTCGACAATAAGCATGTCATGTTTAGGAATTGTTTGATCATCAAATTTATAGTTTGAACTTTCCAAATGGGCTTCGGGTCAGTAATTTGGACCCATTTGGGCTCGGATTAAGCCGAATTTAGTGTCATTGACACTAGGGGGGCAAACGAGTCCAGTCAAGCTCGAGCCAGGGGGTGTTCGAGTCAAGCTTGACAATCAAAACCCGAGCTCGAGCTCGAACTCGAGTCGAGTTTAAAATCTGAGCTCGAGCTCGACTCGTCGTCATATCGAGCGGCTTGTCGAGCTCGCTATCGAGCCCGTCGTCGCGCCTGTGACGGGCGGCTCGTCATCTCGATACCTTAGTTTCGACTTCCGCAGTTTCGACCTCATCGTCGTGTCCTTCATCACCCAACCCGTCTGTCATCAATGGATGTCGTCGGTTCCGCCCTCCGTCCGACGTGTTCCTGAGCTTTGCCGTCGAGAAACGATATCCGCTCGATATGACGACGTCGAGCACGACCTCAGTTCCGACTTCCACGCCGTCGTCACGACATCGTGTTCCTGAGCTCGTCCGACGACGTGTTCCTGAGCTCCGTTGTCCCGACATCGTCGAGCAATGGATGTCGTCATCCCGAGATCCGATGAGCAATTGATGAACTCTACCGTTGAGATCGAGATCAGTCGCATCCGCCCTTTGTCCCGAGCTCGTCTTCCTTCGAGAAACAAGATCCGCTCGTGCCGCTGTTTTGGATTTTCCGCTCTGAGATTTGGATTTCCCTCCCACGAGCTCCGCCAACGAGCTGCTCGGCGAGCCGACGAGCCAAGTCTGACGTATGTTCGAGCTCGAGCCCGATTAGCCGTCGAGCTCGAACTGGTGTTCGAGTTCGACTCGCTAGCTCGAAAAGCACAACTCGTCGAGCCGGTTACCGAGTCGAGTACGAGCCGGCTCGCGAGTCGGCTTGACTCGGTTGCACCCCTAATTGACACTAGGAAAATCACCTATTACCAGGGGAATTTTTGAGGCATTTAGTTCGACTGTAAGTTTGTTGAAATCGGAGGTCAGAGGGTCCATAATTTTATTTTGAAAGTTTACAACTTGATTTTGCCTCGAGATTCGTGCCCGATCAAGATAACTTTTTAATGATATATCAATAACTATTTTTAACTTAATTTAAAGACGAAGTATTATATAAATAAATGTAAAACTTCCCTTTAAAAATGACAAACACTTTGAGCTTAATTTTTAATGAAATCTGTATGGATCTCCCAAACTTTGCAAGGCAGCTAATTATGGACAGCAAGCCAACTGTTAGACTCTTCATTTGGATTGTGCTAAATAGCGCAATCTGGACCAGTTTCCTTTGCTGCTTGGCAGGCCCTCTTGTTTTCTGCAAAAAAAAAAACAGCCTAGTAGCAGCAGCATCCGTAGGTCCAAAGATCAATAACAACCTAATCTGCAGCACACCAACACAAACCATCAAATGATATTCACACCTTTAACCACATGAAACAGCTGCAGCGCAGTAAAATAACATAAGCAGACACATTAATTATAATAGCAGGAAAGATAACAGCAACTTCAGTGGAAAATGCAGCAGCAAGGTGCTAGAGCGTGCTGTTTCAGAAGCAGCAGCGAGGGTTATTATTAATTTTAAGCAAGTTTTTTTTTGGTTATTTGGTTCTCTTTGGTGCTCTCAAATTACTAACGAAATACTGTAATTATAATCATTAATTAATATAAATTTAATTTACCCATAACTGTATTAATTATTAATATGCCGTTAGTTAAGATATCAGTTAATAATATAACTTTTGATATTACCTGTTACTAATAAAGAACGGTTTTTCAGATTTTCATATTTATATAACTATGTAAACTTTGCTTTTAAACTAAAAAAATTTTGTTATATATATTTAAATTTAAGAGTTGTAATTTATTTTTTTTTATTATAAAATCATTAAAGCTAAACACCTAAATAAATAACTAATATCTGTTTTAAAATTTAAAAAAAAAATTAGCCAAAACAACAGCCAATTATTGAAACAAATATTTTAAAACTCTATTTTAGATCAGTAATACAGCAACAACCCACTTAATGACGCTGATAAATAAGCAGTTTATTTATAAATATATTACTAAGTATATGTTACAAATACACATTGCACAAAATGCATACAAAGAAGAAGCCTACTTATTGACCTCTCTACGATGCGATGATCGCACTTAATAATTTCTCCTAGACGAGCGGGCCACCCTTAACATACTCAGTGGCAGCAAGAGCAACAAGCCCCAGCATAGCAAACCGGCCGTTCCATATCTCCGCATCAGCTGTCATGGGCGCATCGGACCGGTCCGACGCGTCCACGCCGCGAAATAACGGAACCAGGGAGGCCACCGAGAGCAACGCCGCCGCGCCGGCGAACCATAACACGCCTCCGTTTGCGAGCTGAGCCGCCAGATCCTCTCCTCGCATAACCTCGACCGCGACGGCCGAGACGAACCCGACCATAGCAAGCCGGCCGTTGATCCTCTCAGGGCCCGGTCCACTGAACGACATCGCATCCCAGAAGGTTTTTCCCTTGGCCTGCACGTTTGAAGAACAAGAACCCATCTTTGTAAGTAAAAAACGTACGCGTTATATTATTCATCTACTTTATTTAAGGAATTCAGAGATTACTTTCAGTTCTTGTTTTGCTTCAGGTATCGCTTCTCGAAGGTTGAGGACTGGTCCGGATTCACCATCGTTAGAGTTATCCTGTACGTAAAACCATATTATAAATTTTCATATTCATGACCTTTAATGATAAGAGAGTGGGCCGGGACTGCAAGATCACCTTGGCCTGGCACTGGACGGCGCGGCCACCGCCGGCTGCTGTGCTGCGGCGGTGCAATGATGGTAGAGATGGTGCCTTACTTTGTATGATGATGCCTCGTGACGTGATCCCGGTCGCGTAGGACGGTGAAACGGCGGACACTGTTGTAGCCATTTCGATTCGAGAAATCTTCAAGTCTAGAATAATGAAGGCTTATAGTACAGTGGAAGAACCAAGAGCTTGGTGTAAACTAACGGTACTGTGCGAAGATTGAAGAGATTAGTGAAGAAGAAGGTGCGCTACTTAGATGAAATAAATAGAGAGCGAGAGCGAGCGGTTCGTCGGTTCAAGAGAGGCCACGTCAGTCTAATAGTTGGGCCAAGAGATCGGTGTTACGTGGACGCTAGTGCTGCCACGTGGCCAGGGGTCGTGACGCGGTCCTTCGCATGGTCTCCATTGTTGCACACTGTTACTGTTGTAACGACATTTGTCAAATGTTGTTATTTATCGTCAACGTCTGTATTTTCTGATCATGCCAATTACCAATTATCTCCCACGACCATTTTTTTAGCTATATCCCATCAGCCGCCTCTCTCTCTCTCTCTCTCTTTTTTTTTCTTTTCTTTTTTAAAAAAACTATGAATTTATTATCTTTAAAATAATATTAATATTTTCGATAGATATTTATAGCTGCAATGTCTTAAATTTCCGAGAGACATGCATTAAATATTTTTATAAATATTAAAAATTTAGGGTTTAAATATTTATCTAATGATTCAAAAAAATTTCTCTTTCATTTATGATTCAAAGATGATAAATAAGACTTAAAGCGGATAACTTTGAACACATACCTTGATTGAAAAGATAATTCTCTTATCTCGAGTGTTTGTGGGCAAATCGATGAAGACGGGTTCTCAAATGGGTCGAGTCGAAAGAATTTTTGTCGGGGAGTCCGATGATCACACTATAAACCTCCCTGATGAAAATCTTAGGCTAAGAAGATATGTATGAGTATACATGAGTCACTACTGGAAAAATGGCAAATACCGGCGGTTTGCACCGGCGGTTTATGGACCGTCGGTATTACCGACGGCTCCGCCGGCGGTTAAGCCGTCGGACTCTAACGACGGCCAAATCGGCGGCTTAGCTACGATACACCGCCGGTATTACCGATGGTAATGTGACCGGCGGCTTACCGGCGGTTACAATATCGGCGGCCTAACCGCCGGCAGACCGACAGTTAAAATTCCGTTGGTCACCGGCGGTATTGGCCGCCGGAAAACCGCCGCAAAAATAAACCGCCGGTAACAAGCCGTCGGAAATGGTTTCCTACGCCGTTTTTTCCGGCGGTTCACAAACCGCCGTTAGACCGTCGGTAACTTTAAAAACCGTCGGTAAATCTAGACTAACCGCCGGAAAAAACCGCCGGTTTTCAGCGTTTTTCCTGTAGTGAGTTATGTGACCCTTTATGCTTCTTGAGCCTTAACTTTGACCTTAAAATAAGATCGATGTCTTTTTTTTTTATGATATATTTTGTTATCGTTGAAGGAGATGAGGCCAGAATCAGGCAAAGCAAGGAGAAGGAACAAGAAGTGAGGAAAACAGAAAAATGAATCTTATTCATGTCACAGTACAGAGTACATGCAATATATATAGGTAAAGATAATGGCTGAATGTAAATACATAAGGGCTGAAGGGTATATTGCTAACAGTCTCCCTCAAATTGAGCATTCGTTTGGACGAATGATTAATTTGCTACGTAATTCACATAATCTTGTGACAGAGAGGGGTTTGGTTAGTATGTCAACGATTTGGTCCTTCGAAGAAATGTGAGTGTGGAAGATGTCGCCGGAGCGTATTTGTTCCCTGATGAAGTGGTAGTTGATTTCAATATGCTTTGTTCTGGCGTGGAAGACGAGATTCTTGGCGGGTGCAATGGCAGAGGTGTTGTCGCAGTAGATGGTGGTAGGAGGAAGCTGCGGAATGTGGAGTTCGGCGGCTAAACGCCGGAGCCATATAACTTCAAAGGTTGACGCAGAAAGGGACCTATACTCGGCTTATGTGGATGATTTGGCAACGGTGACCTGCTTCTTGACGGACCAAGAGATTAGGTTGGGTCCAAGAAGGTACAAGAACCTGAGATGGACTTCCGATCGGATTGATTTGATGCCCAGTCGGCATCCGTATATGAGTGTAGGATGAGCAAGCCTTTTGTGATCGGTAGCCCAAAGTGTATAGTCCCTTTGATATATCGGAGAAGACGCTTGAGCAATTTAAAGTCATGTATGGTCGGTGCATGCATGTGTTGGCAAACAAGATTAGTGCCGAAGGCAATATCAGGTCTAGTAATGGAGAGATATTGAAGGGAGCCAGCGAGATGTCTATATAGAGTTGGATCGTGAAAGGGTTCTGTATTACTTAGCTTTTGTTTTGACGGTGGAGTGACCGGCGTGGGTGCCGGTTTGCTGTCTTGAAACCCGGCGTCATGAAGGACTTTTGCGGCGTAATGCTGCTGGGTGAGGACGTAGCCCAAGGCGGTTTGCTGAATTTGGATGCCGAGGAACATGGAGATATGACCGAGCTATTTAAGGGCGAATTAAGACTTCAGTTGACTGAGAAGAAGCCGTATTGCATTTTGGTCATTTCCTATTATAAGGATATCGTCAACATAGATTAGAATGTAGATTTGCGTGTTGTTTTTATGATAAAGAAGTAAGGAGGGATCGGAATGACTAAACCCGAATTATTTTGATTGCAGGAACCCGGTGAGCTTTTGAAACCACTGGCGAGGGCCTTGCTTGAGGTTGTATAAAGATTTGCAAAGTTTGCACACGTGGTCCGGAAATTTTGGATCAATGAAGCCTTTTGGTTGATGCATATAGATGTCATCATGTAAGTCGCCATGTAGGAAAGCGTTCGAAATATCTAGTTGAAGCATTGGCCATTGATGATATAGAGCCAGTGTGAGAAGGAGGCGGATCGTAGGCATCTTGGCGACCGGACTGATAGTCTCGGTGTAGTTAATACCAAATTTCTGATCGTAGCTCAAGGCTACAAGGCGAGCTTTGTGACGATCCACTTGTCCGGTGGGAAGAAGCTTTGTCTTGAAAGTCCACTTACATCCAAGAACCGGTTTGTTTGAGGGAGCCGGGACAAGAGATCAGGTGTCGTTGTGTTGAAGTGCAAAAGAATTCTTCTTGCATAGCAGTGCTCCAGTGATCAAGTTTAGCTGCTTGATTATAGGTTAGAGGAGTAGATTGAGGTGTTGTGGTACTGAGAAGATTGAAGAATTTCTTAGGTTTGATAATGCCTTATTTCAGGCGGGTTTGCATGGGGTGTTGGTGAGTGGCGATAGGTTGGACGGATGGGTTTGTGACTGGACTGAGAGAGTTTAAGAGTTGAGGTGAGGGATCGGGTTGAGTGGTAGCGTCAGAGGTGTTGTGAATGGAAGTGGGGGTATTTGTATTAGGAATGCTGGGTTGAACGGTTTGAGAAGAATTGTGAGAGGTAGGGGTGAGGAGTAACGGAGAGAGCACGGTACTGGTCGGAGTGGTAGGAGGTGAGTATGGAGTAGATTTTGGTTGATATGGAAAATTGTTCTCATAGAAGACTACATGCCAAGACGTGTGAATCTTGCCTGTGGAAATATTGTAGCACCTATACCCTTTATATTGAGATGCGTAACCGAGAAATACGCATTCACTGGGTCGAGGTGAGAGTTTTTCTGCAGCGTTATGTCTTTGACAGGGAAAACACAGGCAACCGAACATGCGGAGATGTGAGTAGATAGGTGTAGTCCCGTAAAGGCGTTGATATGGAGTTTGAAGGGATATGGGTTTGGAGGTCTTGAATGAGTTGTAAGTGGCAGGTAGACCATTGAGGATATGTAGAATAATGTCTTCCAGATCAATCTTGGAACCTGAGGCCAAGATGTTGTTGACGATAGATTTTATCTGAGCAAGATACTGTTGCATGTTAAGGTCTTTCATCTGGATCCGAAATAGCTCGTTTTTGAGCTGATTGACGCGTGAGCGGCTGGACGGTTGAAGACGGCGTTCAAGAACCGTCCAGGCCTCATGAGCGATGGTGGACGAAATGATGTAAGGCAAGATGGATTGAGAGATCGTTGAAAAGTAGGCAGAGAGAAGAGTGTTGTCACTTGTCAACAATCCGCCAGGCTGCTTGAGCGGAGGTTTCGGTGTCGGCTGGCTGTTTGGCTTGTCCCGTCAGGTGGCCGGCGTAACCTGTGGCATTGAATTGCTGCAATATTTGAGTACGCCATATGGCGTAGTTGTCGGAAGTGAGAGGGTAGGGAAGAAGATTCTTGATGTTGGTAACAAGAAACTTTAGAGGTGCGGGAATGACGGGAATGGTGGAGGAGGGATCGGGAATGTTGGTGGAGGAGGGAGGGAGGGAATTGATTGATTCTTGATCTCCCATGGTGGCTCTGATACCATGAAGGAGATGAGGCCGGAATCAGGCAAAGCAAGGAGACGGAACAAGAAGTGAGGAAAATAGAAAAATGAATCTTACTCATGTCACGGTACAGAGTACAATATATATAGGTACATACAATGGCTGAATGTAAATACATAAGGGCTGAAGGGTATATTGCTAACAATCATAAATCTCAATTTTTACTTATGTTGTTGAATCATTTTTCACAATTTATTATTATTATTAATTAAATATATTATTCAATTATTTGGAAGAGCATATTTTATAATAATAAGGAAGCACTTTTTTCAAAATTATATATTGCTCACACATTTGTAATCATTTTAACAGGGCCAAATCTTATAAGTTGAACCGTTCTCAATTAAAGAAAAAAAAACATTTATTTTCCCAAAAAAAAAAAAGCATTTATGTCATATATGAGCTCCTCATAACCTTATATCATATATATACATTTAAATGTTAAGACTACACTCTCTGCCCCAATAATAACAATACTTTCAATGTTTTAATAATTAAAATCTATGACAAATTTGATATAATTCCTAAGAGCATACTGCAATGATAGAGTATTCTCAATTTTTGAATTTATGTTTATTTTGTACAACAATGATGATAATATATATATATTATTGTGTTATATGCTTATAAAACTATGAGCTACTATATCAATCAGTTTGTATTTTTTATTGTCAATGGGTAGCTTATGGTATTTTATTTATTGGTACTCCAAAATATTCCTTGGTTTTGACTCTGTGTATATAAGATTTTCTTGTAATGCTAGGACGTAAAATTATCTCATTGTTATCATAAAAATTTAAGTATGTAATAATTTGATTGTCTAACATATATAGTGTTATAGGAACATTCATTCAAATGGATAACATGAGTAAAACCCATAATAGAGGATCTTCTCACTCTAATACTCATTAATTCAAAAATCAATCTCATTGTCAGCCAAATTGGATATGTACGTCTTATTGTGTTGAGTTATAACATACAATTTTCAAAATATAATTTTGAAAATATTTCATATTGGCTTTCAATATACATTTTAAACAAACAACATTCTACAGACCTACTAAAACATCCAAAGTACTAAAAATAAACACATCCATAAAATCTCTTTCATTTCTTGCTTAAGCATGTGCAAATATGCAACATTCAGAGTGACGGTGTGAGTGGGTTGAGCGTAGAGGAGAGTGATGTTACATATATTGGTGAGTGGCAAGCTTGGGAGGATGTTATGTGGTTTGAACACATGAGTTCACGTATTGATTGCTAGCAAGTGTGAGAGTGGAGCAACATTGTCTTGAGCAAAAATTGCATAAGTGCATTGACCAACTATTAAGTGTAAATTTTATAATATTTTAATATCTTAAATATTGTTTAAAATATTATATTTCATTTATGTTGTGCAAGAAGGTCTCATAAAAAGGGAAAAAATTTCATAAATGTTGAACTAACGCTGAAAGCTCCAACTACCCTAATGCCTTAGTGTCAAATAAAAAAAATTGCAACATCGGAGCCTCGAAAAAAATGTCAATTAATTCAGAGTCTTGATGGAGCCAAGGCCAGTGTTTTAGCACTTTACAATTTTATAGCACAAGTATTCAACATCGTAACCTCAAAGTCTCATGGATTTGAGCATCGGAGCGCCAAACTTTACCGTCGTACCCTCGATACCGGACGGCTAATATCAGCCGCCGAAAGATCACTATAACCGCCGGTAGTTTCCTGCGGCGTACTGACGGTTTCTGGCGGTTCTTCGGCGATACGCCGGCTGTGGAGCAGCCGGTAATTTCTTTGGTTATGACCGCTGATAAACCGCTAGTGAACGTTACCGACGATATTCCAACAGTTTGGCCGCCGAAAAAATACGATTAGACCGGCGGTTAAAATAGCCGGTATGCCGCCGGTAAAACCCGGCAGTCACCGGTGTTATGACTGCCGGAAAACTACCGGCGGTATGGTCCGCCGGTAAATTGCTGGTGAGAAAAACCGCCGAAAAAAGTTTCATACGCGGTTTTTAAAGACGGATTTTCAACCGATGCAAAGTCGCCGATTTTTTCCAAAACCGCCGGTACTTACTGATTTTCCTGTAGTGAATATTTTTGTACACCAAATGTTGAATTCTCTTGATTCATTACGCCTTACCAACTGGGTCTAAATTTTTAATGACATATGAGGGCTGCACCTAAACATAAGGGTTGCACCAAAACCTAAAGCTCAACAAACCTCATGATCAAACTTGTCATTGTGCCACCATGTCAAGCGCTATGGCGCATTTCTGTTTTTGCACAAGCATAAATAGTTTTTATTTTGTTTAAGTGAGATTTCTTCATAGTTTTATTGAGGTCTATCATTTGTAGTGAGTATTGAGTGCTAAAATATAATGCACTCTTAAACTCAAGTCCAAGGGGCTAAAAGAGAAAAAGATACGTCTTCTTGGAGATCGTCAACTTATCTATTTGTAAGCAATCACACATTTGGAGGAGAAAGGAGTGCAAATAGTGTATTATATTATCCAATAAGTTATATTTGATTTCACTTATGCTCTTATACTTTTTCTTATATGCAAGCAATGAATTTTGGTTTGATTTTTGCATTTCAATGACAGCCTAATATTAGTTTTGAGCAAATGATGTGAATAATTTGTAAGTACTAATATATACTATTGTGTTTTAAATGAATAATGAATGTTTTCAATATCTCTCATTCTTAATATAATACATATAATTGTCATATGTGTTAATAATACATATAATTGTCATATGTGTTAAAAATTAATGTGATATAATATCCAATAGAGTAATATTAAAATATTTAAGAGTGTTGGAATGAAACTTTTGCATGTCAGATATATGATTTTTAGAGTTCTAGATTATACGTAGATATACAAATTGAAACAAGGTCACAAACTTCCCTTTACTTCTCTACAAATTTGATAAAAATATAAGGATGTATACTCTGACCCATATCAAATATAGAAGAATCTGCCTGTGATAACTTAGTTTCACATTTCATTAATCTAAAATATTTGATCATCTGATATTTAATCTTTTTTTTTTTATTTCCTACTGGAAAAATAATCTCAACCAATATTTAATGCTCCTTAAAGCAACTAAGAAGCAACAAAATAGTCTTGTCTCAAATTAAGGATTTGTTTGGAGCGGCTTTTTAATATTTTTTAAAGCAATTTTCTAGCATAAAATTTTTAAGTTTAAAAAATTGTGCGCTAAAAAGTTGCTTAAGAAAGCAATAAAAAAATCGTTTGGGACGGCTTTTTTTACAACTTCTTGAAGCAGCTTTTTAATATAAAAGTTAAAAAACTTTGTACTAGCAAGCTGCTTCAAAAAACAGTAAAAAAATCGTCTCAAACAAATGCTCATCTGAGACAATTAACTTACTGTTTCTTAACGCAACTTCTTAGTATAAAAATTTTAATTGTAAACTAAAAAAATATTATAAGAAACAATAAAAAACCGTTTGAACGAAGCCTCTTCTTGCTTCTTAAAACGGCTTTCTAGTTAAAAAGTTAAAATTTTTGTACTAGAAAGCCGCTTTAAGAAGCAGTAAGAAAACCATCCCAAACGAAGCCTAAATCTAGTAAACATGTTAGACCACGTGAACCTAGCACTCATCAACTTAGCCAACGCTCATCCTTAATTTATCCCTCAGTAGTGGACCGGGCTACGATTAGTAACTCCTTTTCGAAGTTGCATGTTCGACCATTTACATTTGGGAAAATTGATATTTTTTTGGTCAAACTCGATAAACATATATTAGATATTATAATTTTATGATAACATACATATTAAGAAATTAGTTTTAATAAATTGTATGTTTGTATGATAAATCATTCATTTTTCGTTTTAAGTAGTATTAGGTCTGCTCATGTTCATGCCATAGAGCCAATTCGTCTAATTGATTTACAAGCCTGTTTATTTTAAAAGCTCAGTTTATTTAAATATATTACTAACTATAATCTACAAATCCACTTGCTACAAAAACTGCATGTACACAACAACTGCACAAAACCATGGCAGTAAACAAGACTAGGCTACTGCAAAGAAGCCTAGACGAGCGGGCCACCCTTAACATACTCAGTGGCAGCAAGAGCAACAAGCCCCAGCATAGCAAACCGGCCGTTCCATATCTCCGCATCAGCTGTCATGGGCGCATCGGACCGGTCCGGCGCGTCCACACCGCGAAATAACGGAACCAGTGAGGCCACCGAGAGCAACGCCGCCGCGCCGGCGAACCATAACACGCCGCCGTTTGCGAGCTGTGCCGCCAGATCCTCTCCTCGCATAACCTCGACCGCGACGGCCGAGACGAACCCGACCATAGCAAGCCGGCCGTTGATCCTCTCGGGGCCCGGTCCACTGAACGACATCGCGTCCCAGAAGGTTTTGCCCTTGGCCTGCATGTGTGAAGAACAAGAACCCATCTTTGTAAGTAAAAAACGTATGCGTTATACTATTCATCTATTTTATTTAAGGAATTCATAGATTACTTTGAGTTCTTGTTTTGCTTCCGGTATCGCTTCCCGAAGGTTGAGGACTGGTCCGGATTCACCATCGTTAGAGTTATCCTGTACGTTAAACCATAGGATAAAATTTCATATCGAGCATGGCCATATGATTGCAAAAAGATATATCATAAGAGAGTTGGCCGGGACTGCAAGATCACCTTGGCCTGGCACTGGACGGCGCGGCCACCGCCGACTGCTGTGCTGCGGCGGTGCAATGATGGTAGAGATGGTGCCTTACTTTGCTTGATGAAGCCTCGTGACGTGATCCCGGTCGCGTAGGACGGTGAAACGGCGGACACTGTTGTAGCCATTTCGATTCGAGAAATCTCCAAGTCTAGAATGAAGTCTTATAGTACAGTGGAAGAACGAAGAGCTTGGTGCAAAGTTGCAGTGGTTGAAGGGATTAGTGAAGAAGAAGGTGTGCTACTTGGATGAAATAAATAGAGGGCGAGAGCGAGCGGTTCGTCGGTTGAAGAGAGGCCACGTCAGTCTAATAGTTGGGCCAAGAGATCGGTGTTACGTGGACACTAGTGCTGCCACGTGGCCAGGGGTCGTGACGCGGTCCTTCGCATGGTCTCCATTTTTCCACAACGTTACTGTTGTAATGACATTCGTCAAATGGTGTTATTTGTCGTCAACGTCTGTATTTTCTGATGATGCCAATTGCCAATTGCCTCCCACGAAGGTCGATATGACCATTTTTAGTTATATCCCAACAGCCGCCTCAATCTTTTTTTTTTTTTTAATAAATTAAGAATTGATTATCTTTAAAATAATATTAAAATTTTCGATAGATATTTATATCTCCAATCTCTTAAATTTTGGAGAGACATGCATTAAATGTTTTTATAAATATTATATTTTTAACTTTATAGTAGTTGGATTCAAATTTTTCTATAGAATATACTCAACCTTCAAACTCAGGAAATTGAAACCCGAAAGCTTTTAGAAATATAATGTATCTCGATTTTTGGGTATTTTAAGATAATTTAAGAAGTAAAATATTCAAAAAAAAAAAAAAATCTCTTCATTTTTTATTGAATTTTAAGGACTGCAAAAATGACTACACCAATAATAATAAAAACTATAATGATAAATAAGACTCAATACGGATAACTTTGAAAATGTATCTCGATTAGAAAGATAATTATTGTACATGGGCAAATCGACGAAGACGGCTTCTCAAATGGGTTAAGTTGAAAGAATTTTTGTCGAGTCCGATGATCACACTAGAAACCTCCATGATGAAAATCTTAAGCTTGTTCGATATGAAGGGTGAGTCCACCTGAGTTGTGGGTATAGTGTACTTCATGACTACTGAGAATAAAGGAGCGTGTTTGCATCCTCCTTGAGGTGATCCTACCCTATGGTTGAATTGATGAGTCCTATTAATGGCTCACCAATTAAGGTGACGCTGAGTTGCTTTGAGAGTGCTCCAAATGAAAGGGTGAGTTCACCAAGTTTGAGAAGTTTTATACGATGGATCCTAAAAATTCCTCTTAGAAGCTATCTTCTCGAGTTGCTTTGCTGAGTTGAGTCGAACTTTTAGCTTTCATATAGTAATGGTTGAGAGCAACCATTTTTAAATGAGTCTTTGCTCCTATCTTCTTGATTTCGGTGAGATACGTTTGCATAGACATGTTCTTCATGGAGATGTTGTGCAGCTCATTTTTTGAGCTGAATCACTTTTGAGCTATTCGAAGATTGGAACCGGAGTTGAAGAGCTTGCCAGATGTCAGCCGTGGATTCTAGGTGCATTACATAAGGGAGCACCGGAGTCAATATGGTTGAGCAAATCACCGCCGCGAGATTCTGATCAGTGATGTGTGGTCGACAGGTTTGGGATCTTGATTTTCCTGATCTTGATTCGGCTGAGAGGAGTCGGATGATGGAGATTCAAGAAAAGTCTTGAATCCATTGGCCTTGAAGAGCTTGACGATATGATTTCTCCATATCGGATAATTTTTCGATGAGAGTTGATGGGGAACGAGCATCTTGAGATTTGAAATGATGAATTTGAGAGAAGGGTAAAGAACGAATTTCGCAGACGGAGCGACTGTGGTGGCTACTGTTATCGACGATATTGACGCCGAGGTTGCCATGAGAAATTTGGCCGGAGGTTCAACCCGCTACTGATACCATGTAGAAGTTGATGGTGCCGGAGAGTAGATGGTGTCGAACCATCGACGACAGTGGAAGAAAAAGAAAGAGAACACTACAGGAAAATCACCCATTTTCGACGGCATTTTCCGGTTGATAATGAGCCTTTTCCATCGGTTTTGTAATTTAGCGGCGGTTTTCCGGCGGTTAAAATTCCGCCGGTAAAAAACGCGCCGGAAAATAAATTTCGGCGATTTTTTCCGGCGGCAAATTATTCCGGCGGGCTTAAACAGCCAGTCAAATTAAAAAAAAAAATCCCGCGCTCCGGCCAGCCACCACGCTCCCGCGCTGCCAGAGCCTTGCTCGTCACCCCGATCCCACGTGCTGGCACCTAAGAAGAGATTTATGAGTAACTCATTTCATTGAAAATTCCGCCAGAATGGGTGATTTTCCTGAAGTGGAAGAGCAGAGAAACTTATTTCATTGAAATTACATTGCCTAAGTACATACACATATAAATAGACAATGGCAGGTGTGAGACACACGTGTACATTTGTCATTGGACAACAAGAATAAGGTTTACATAGGATTAATACTAATATGATTTATTGAGGTTGTAATAGGATCTATTAGGTCCATATCCATTAAAATGGAACATGTGTTAAATATATATGAGACACCTAAGAAGAGATGTACGAGTATACGGGAGTTACGTGACCCTTTATGCTTCCCCCCGAGGCCCTGACCCTTAACTTTTCCCTTAAAATAAGATGACTTTAATTTTTTGATAATATATTTGTTATCATAAAGCTCTTTTTTTTACTTATGTTGTTGAAATTATTTTTCACAATTTATTTTTATTATATTAATTAAATAAATTATTCAATTATTTGGACGAGCATCTTTTATAATTATAAGGAAGCACATTTTTCAAAATTATATATTGCTAACACAATTGTAATCATTTTAACATGGTCAAATCTTATAATTTGAGCCATTCTCAATTAAAAAAAAATTACGTCATATATTGAGCTTCCTCATAACTATTATATAATATATATATAGTTCACTCTCTCTGCCCAAGAATAACAATCTTTCAATGTTTTAATAATTAAATCTATGACAAATTTGATATATAATTCCTAAGAGCATACTGCAATGATAAGAATATTCTCAATTTTTGAATATGTTTATTTGGTACAACAATGATGAGTGATATATATATATATTATATATATGATATATTATATATATATATAATAATTATACTATATATATTATATATATATATATATATATTATTATTATATATATATATATTATTATATATATATATATATATATATATATATAAATATATATATATATATATATATATTGTGTTATATGCTTATAAAACTATATCAATCGACTTGTATTTTTTATAGTCAATGGGTAGCTTATGGTGTTTTATTTATTGGAACTCCAAGATATTTTTCGGTTTTGAAATTGTGTATATAATATTTTCTTGTAATGCTATGACGTAAAATTTTCTCCTTGTTATCATAAAAACTTAAGTATGCAATAATTTTGTTGTCTAACATATATAGTATTCTAGGAACATTTGTTCAAATGGATAACATAAGTAAAACCCATAATAGAGGATCTTCTCACTCTAATACTCATTAATTCAAAAATCAATCTCATTGTCAACCCAACCGGATATGTCTTATTGTGTTGAGCTATAATATACAAATCCCAAAATTTAATTTTGAAAATATTTTATATTCACTTTCAATATACATTTTAAACAAACAACATTCTACCGACCTACTAAAACATCTAAAGTACTAAAAATATACTCATCCATAAAATATATTTCATTTCTTGCTTAAGCATGTGCAAATATGCAACATCCAGTGATGGTGTGAGTGGGTTGAGCATAGAGGAGACTGATGTTACATGTATTGGTGAGTGGCAAGCTTGGGAGGATGTTATGTGGTTGGAACACATGGGTTCACATATTGATTGCTATCAAGTGTGAGAGTGGAGCAATATTAGCTTGAGCGAAAGGTGCCCAAGTGCATTGACCAACTATTAAGTGTAAATTTTATAATATTTTACTATTTTCAATATTGATAAAATTATTATTTTTCATTGATGTTGTGCAAGAAGGTCTAAAAAAAAAAGGGAAAATATTCATAAGTCTTGAACCAACGCCGAAAAGCTCCAACTACCATAATGTCTTAGTGTCAAATCAAAAAATTGCAGCACCGGAGCCTCGAAAACAATGTCAATTAATTCAGAGCCTTGATGGAGCCAAGGCCAACGTTGTAGCACTTTACAATTTTATAGCGCAAGTATTCAACATCACATCCTAGAAGACTCAGGGATTTGGGCATCGGTGCACCAAACTTTACAATGTCATAGAGTCGAATTGCACATTCAAGTGCCATAGTGCTCAACTTTTTTCACATCGCATGTGAATAGTTGTCGAAATGAGGAACAACCTTGACTTAACCAAAAGATGGGTTGATTTAGCCAATTGATGTGTTAGGTTAATCCAACACCGCAACATAGCCCACTTAGTAGTGCTGAGGTGCTAGTTCATTTTGTAATATAGTGGCGCCACTATGTTGAGCGGTGTAGCTCCCGAGTCCATTTTTGTCCAAGTATAAATAGTTTTTCAGTTGTTTAACTGAGAGATATGTCAGAATTTTGTTGGGTCCGTCATTTTTAGTGGGTATTGAGTGCTGAAGTGTAGTGCCCTTTTAGAGAGAAAATGATACTTCATTTGAGAAATCGTCATCCTACCTATTTGTAAGCAATCAAACATTTGGAGGAAGAAGTGTAGAGAGTGTATTATACAATCCAAGTGATATTTGATTTCACTTATGCTCTTATACTTTCTCTTATATGCAATCAATGAATTTTGATTTGATCTTTTTTATCACCAAGGCTATATAATTTTTTAATTTCGAGCTAATGATGTGAATTGTTTGTAAATACTAATGTAAACTCTTGCGCTTTGAATGACTAATTAATATTTTCAATATCACCCATTCTTAATTTCTTAATGCATATAATGACCATGTGTTTAGTTAAAATTCGGTGTAATATATTACCTCGATAGAGCAATATTGAAATAATTTGGAGTGTTGGAATGAAGCTTTTGCATGCTTGACATATGATGTTTAGAGTTCTAGGTTCTATAGATATACAAAATTGTATGAAGGTCAGAAACCTCCCTTTACACCTTTACAAACTCAGTAGAGATGCAGGGATGTATATGCTCTGATCCGTAACAAACATATATGAGTCTACTTGTGAAAAGTTAGGCAATTCACAACCAGTATCCCAAAATATGTAATCAAATGGTATCTTATCTTCTTCTTTTTTTGTATTCACTAGCAGAGATAATCTCAACCCTACTTTTTTATTCAATAAGATAAGCATTGTAGCTATAACGCATTAGTAGTTCATTTGCATGTTAGTAGAACATTTTCTCATGAAATTGATACTCTCAATCACTTTATTACTTGATCGACACATACACTTACATATTTATTGGGTATTACATATCAAAGATAATCTAAGCATATTTCAACCTATTGTATAAACATAATTCACACACCCATGTAACCCATCAGCAACAAGGATAATTAAGGAAGATGATCGCAGTACTGACGACATGGGAACATGAAAAGTTGAGATCATATACATTATAGTAGTGGCAATCACAATGTTAGAGATATTGTCATTTCATGTGTGCAATTTTCTATCTAGTCAATGAGGTGGTGTTGGGAAAAATTAGAGAGAAAAATGATCAAGGAGGGGCATGTGTGTAATGAAAGTTTTTAAGTTAATTTTTAAATAAATAAATTAATCATTATTTTACATTATTTATAATTTAATATATATTTTCCTTTACGGACTGTTGAGACACATATGTAGGAATTTTTATTTGGTTCGGTTGACCGGATGCAAGAAGCATCCGGTCGTAGGCAAAAAAAATGCGGTACCGAGGTGTACCGAGTTTTTCAAAAAACTCGGTACACCTCGGTACCGAGTTTTTTTTTGCCTACGACCGGATGCTTCTCTGCATCCGGTCGGAGGACGTAATAATTGTTCCATATGTAGAGTTAAATGACATTCATTTAGATGTTATTCTCAAAGGCATACTTAAACTACCTACTATTTCATAAGTTTAGTCTTTTAAAACTCTAAGTAATCTTAAATCTTATAAATCATTCCATGAAAGTCATAAACAACCTTATACGTACTACATTGAAATCCACAATTTATACATTTTAAATCATTCTAAGATATGCCAAAACCAGTTTTATCACCTAAATTTTCAATTTCACCACATTAAAGGACTGAGCCTAAATATAAAACTCAACTTATCCAAAGATCGAAAGTATACTCTTAACTAAAATGGATTAGAGATCTCTTATCTATTTTGAAATTCAAAGGCTAAGCATAACAGAAAAAAATTGAACCCTAAATTGGCTAATTCACCACTTAAAGGTTTGAAGGTCGAATCAAAATATAAAAATTCGATATCTTAAGAAAAAAAAAAGTGGTACGCCTTACAAACTAAAAGCAAGTTTATAAAACCATAATTCTTTTGTACACCAAATGTTGAATTCTCTTGATTCATTATGCCTTAACAACTAGGTTAAGACTTTTAAGGACATATGAGGGTTGCACCTAAACATACAGCTCAATAAATCTAATGATCAAACTTACTATAAATATAATGATCAAACTTGTCGCGACGCCACCATGCTGGGCACTATGGCGCATGTGTCTGTTTTTGTACAAACGCCACCATGCTGGGCACTATGGCGCATGTGTCTGTTTTTGTACAAGTATAAATAGTTTTTTAGTTCGTTTAAGTAGTTTTTTAGTTCGTTTAAGTGAGAGTACTAATTCATAGTTTTATTGACTCCTATAATTTTTAGTGAGTATTGAGTGTTAAAGTATAGTGCCCTCTGAGAGTCAAGTTAAGGAGCTAAAAGAGAAAAAGATACTTCTTGGAGATCATCAACCTATCTATTTGTAAGCAATCAGACATTTGGAGTGCAAAGAGTATATTATACTATCATAATGATATTTGATTTCACTTATGCTCTTATAATTTCTCTTATATGCATGCAATGAATTTTGATTTGATTTTTTGCATTTTCATGACTAGCTGGTCATAGTTTATTGTACTTTGAATGAATAATAAATGTTTTCAATATCTCACATTATTAATATAATACATATAATGGTTGTATTTGTATTTAAATTCAGTATGATATATTAAAATAACAGAAAATATTAAAAAATTTAAGAGTGTTGGAATAAAACTTTTCATGCTTCCAAAAGGCAGTAGCCTTGGAATGATGAGGAGGTTTCCAAGGAGAGGAATAGTATTTGAAAATCCAAGTCGCCAAAGGGGAAGGCCTATTATACAATCTATGTATAAAGGAACAATTATAGCTGTAAATAAGAGCATTAATACTAGAAATGCCAATGCCACCCTTACATTTTGGTTTGCAGATATTATCCCAGCTAATCATATGCAGCTTTTTCCCCACCGAAGCATCACCAAAAAGCAGGAATTTAGAGGCCAGTTTCCTGAAAATTTTAAAAACCGCTTTGGGTATAATAGCTCCCCTGATCCAATATGCAATAGAATTCAGCATAGTAAACTTAAGGTATTGCAATCTCCCCGCCATGGATAGCAATTTAGCATTCCAGCCAGAAAATTTCCCCATGATTTTATCAGTAAGAGGAGCAATATCAAAAAGCTTCAGTTTTTTGAAAGAAATGGGGATACCCAGGTAAGAGATGGATTCCTTTTGAGTAAGATTGAGTGAGTTGCAGATGTTGGGACCGTTGGGGATGTGCTTGGGAAGCAACAAAGAGCTTTTATCCATGTTTATGTGAAGACCCGAGGCTTCAGAAAAGGTGTTTAATATCCTCATTAAATTGGCACAATTGTTGGGAGTAGCTTCTCCTAGAATCAGCAAGTCATCAGCGTAGAGAAGATGGCTAATGTTAAATTCCTTATAATGCACACCTTTAAATATATTATCATCCAAGATAGACGAAAGAGCGTCCATAGCAATACAGAAGAGGAAAGGACTCAGAGGGCAGCCCTGCCTGAGCCCGGCCGTGGATGGGATGTAACCTTCAAGGGCACCTTTGATGACTATAGAGAAATTGACATTTGTAATACATTGCTTAATCCAAAGAATAAATTGCTCATGAAAACCTTTTTGGTGTAATCTAGAAAGAATGAATTCCCGAGATATAGTATCAAAAGCTAGCTTTCCGAATGTCAAATTTGGCACAGAAAATATTCTTTTTCCCCTTGGCAGTATAAGAAAGCAACTCTTGAGCAAGAATAATATGATCAGTGGAAATTCTAGAGTGGATGAAACCAGTTTGATTATTCTTCACAATGAGAGGCATGATAGGTTTAAGCCTATTAGTGATGACTTTAGATATGATTTTGTAAATAACATTACATAAGGCTATAGGTCTAAAGTCATTAAAAGAGATGGTATGTTTGGATTTGGGAATCAAAGCAAGAGCAGTGGCTTTAATACCCTTAGGCATACTGTTCGTAACAAAAAATGATTGGACAGCTTTGCAAACCTTGGGGCCAATGATGTGCCAGCATCTTTTGAAGAAGTGAAAATTATAGCCATCAGGACCCGGGGAAGAATTAGCCTTGCGCCATCAAACACAACCTTCCTAATTTCATCATCAGAAATTGGAATGATAAGTTCATCTGCAATGTGAGGCTGTAAGACATAGCCAGAAGGAAAGAGGTTAATGTTTAAATTCTCAATCAAAGGGGGATTGAAGAGATCCTGGTAATGATTAAGAATAGCAGTGATAGAGTCTTCCCTCACTCCATAAGAAGAAGAGCTGAGATTGATTGCAGCGTTGCTAGAAGCTTTACGCCTCCTAATTTTGTCGTATAAGAACTTTAAATCATCTTCCCCGTGGCTGAGCCAAGATGATTTAGCTCTCTGAATAATCCAGGACGCATTGAGGGACGTGAAATTAGTAATACGAGAGCTAATTTCTTTCAATCTGTGGTTAAGGACCACATTGGATGGATTATGGGCAATCTGCTGCAAGCAGTGGGATTGATGCCGATGAAGGGAGTCCAAATATTCTTGGATGGCTTTAGCATTAGACCAAGATTCAGATTTAATCCTGCCTTTCAACACACGCAACTTGTAGCACAGATCAGCCAAGGGGCTACCAGCTTGATCAAGAGAGAAGACATCAAGCAAAATATTCCAGTAGGCATCAAGAGAGGTCAAGTAATTCTTAAAGAGGAATCTGTGGGGGGAAGGTGTAGATGCTCGGGAGTGAAGGATAAGGGGACAATGGTCAGAAGATGAAGGAGCTTGCACAGAATAAAAGGTCTCAGGATAAACCGAAGACCAAAAAGAATTGATCATGCAACGGTCTAATTTGATGTGTATGGGGTTGGTAGTTTGCTGATTAAACCAAGTGAAAGGATTTCCAACAGAATGAAGGTCCTCCAGGTTTGCATCGAAAAGAGCAGAATTCAGCTCACCTAAATTACAGTGAGACAGCACTTGACCACCCAATTTATCGGAGGCAAAACGACAACAATTCAAGTCTCCCATTAGGATCCAAGGATTAGATATCCTAGAAGCACAGCTTCTAATCTGATCCCAGAGAGCAGCACGGCCAATTCTGTCATTCTCTGCATAAATGACAGATAAAGTAAATGGAGAGAAGTAAGAACCAGACATAGTTCCAGTGATGATTTGAGAAGTGATAATCTCAGGTTTGAAGCAAGCTTTAGTAGAATTCCACTTTATCCATATCCGACCAGGAGTGGCCAGATTGAAGTTGTGACAATCTTGTTCCAGAGGGAAGAGGACATGAGAATCATGAAAGAAGGGGTTGAGAAGAGAAGTAGGATTAATCCTAGTTTCCAAAACACAGAGCATATCCAGCTTATGGGCAGAAATAAAATTCTTACAGCAAAATACTTTTTCCGGGCTGTTGAAGCCCCTGATGTTCCAACAAGCAATGTTGGGTAAGGACATTATTGTTGATTGGAGGCAAGGGTCTTTTTGGCTTGCTTCCCCTTAGCATTTTTGTTTTGTTTGCCCGACTGCAAGATTGGCTTCTCCTTATCCTTGTCTTTCTCTTTAACCCTGGAAGCAGTATCAGTATCCAGAGAAGAGTCATCCGCATTATCTACTTGGTCATCAGAGAGAAGTTGAAGGGCATCAAATCTGTTGGGTGAAAGAGTCTTAGGTGTAGGCGGCTTAAAAGAAGGCAATGTGGACGAAGAAGAGGAGGTGGAATTCTCATGAGGAGAATTGAGGTTTGGAATGTTGATAGCAGGGGGGCTTGTGAAGTGGTGGATGTGGAGGTAAGATTTTGTAGTATTAGAATCCGAATTTAAATTGTGGGTAGAAGCCACAACCTGTTGAGCTCATATTGTATTTTTAAACTGAAAACGTCATCTTCAATCGAGATGGGGATCGATCTCCTCAGGATAAGTAGTCGATGCATCAACTTGAATGCATACCCGGGCAAAGGTCAGACGAGTTTTTTGTGCTATTAACGCATCTAAGGCTAGGGGGATGCCGATTTTGCTAGCAATACGAGATATGCCCTCAGAATTCCAGCAGACGAGAGGTAAATCCAGAATTTTTACCCAAATAGGAATCAAAGTGAAATTTTCACGCTTTGGCCTGAATTTGGGGGACCATTTTTGAAGTAGAAAAGGCCTCCCAAGGAAGAACCACACCCATTTAGACCAAGCCATCTCATAGTCTTCCGCAGTGGAAAAACGGAGAAGGAAGAAGCCATCTGAAAGAGAGAGGAGCTGCAACGACCCCTTAAGAGTCCAGGACTTACGAATAGCTCCAAGGAGAGACTCATAGTAAGGTCGTCGGCCTATGAAATAGCCCACCAAGCAAAGATTCCAGTTTTCGGCCCCTTTAACCAAACATTCCCCAGCAAAAGGGATGATGTCTGGTTCAAGCGGTAGAAAAGAAAGAGGGAGGTCCTTAGAGATAGGAACCGAATCTATAACAATATTCTTCCAAACACGGGAAGGCGATGAAGAAGGAGGTCTTCCAGCAAGCCCAGAGAGCGGGGGAAAGTGAAGGTCAGAAGCAGCCTCCATTTGCAAGAAGATCGTGAGGGAGTCCTCCGGCAGGGGCCGGAGGAGAGGGGAGAAGGAGGCAGACCCAAAAGTTGGCGGCGGCGGGAGCTAACCCTAGCAGAGCCTCCAAAAAAAAATCCCTTTCTAGGATTGAGAAATTTCATTTCACTGCCTCTTCTACTAAGAAGAAGCCATCTATATGTTTTACTGCCTCTTCTACTAAAGCTCGCTGGACTTTTAAGATTTCCCCTTCCTCTCCCTGCTCTTTCATTTGGGATGCCTGGTGCAACACTCATTGTTTGGTGCAATTATGCCCGGAATTAGCTAATTTTGAGGACCATGCCGTTAGCAATTTCATTTCACCTGGTGGGGAATGGATCATTCCCGTTCCTTTTTCTGTTGTGATTCAAAATGAAATCTACAGGGTCATTATTTGGGAGAACTCTGATTGCATTGCCTGGGCTAATTTGGGTAAATTTCTTTTCAAAAACTTGGTCTCTGATTATTATATCTCTGTTCCTGATTGTAACTGGATGAATTTCATATGGCACAAAAGACATTCTCTGCGTTTCTCACTGTTTACCTGGTTAGCTTTGGTGGGAGGGCTTAAAACTGCTGAGGAACTCAAACGTAGGAACATTATCATGGATTCGTCTTGCCCTTTATGTTCTGCTGGTGCTGAGAGTGTTAATCATTTTTTTTTCGATTGCAATTATACTCACTCTATCATCATCACGCTCATTCCGGAGGTTGCTTCTTTTTACTTTAGACCAAACCTGCTGCATACATTCGACTGGGTTAATGAAAACCCAACCCTATCTTCCCAGCACAAATACATCCTCTTCATCACCATATGTTGCACTGTTTACTATACTTGGCGAGAAAAGAATGAGAGGAGGTTTGCTTCCTCTGCCTCTAGTGTTTCGACTACTAAAATCAAGATTAAGAATGCCATTTTATGTAAAATTTCTAAATGGTGTGATGATGAAATTCTGCGGAGATTTACGAATTAGCTGCTCTGTTTTCTGGTGGTGGCATTGGCATTGGGACACTTGCTGCTGCAGTCGATGCTTATTTTACAGATCGGATGTCACCTGCTATCATTTACTCTACAGACCGGATGTCACCTGTTATCATTTTCTGGTCTTCCTGGACAATGATGAACTCCCTTTTTTCCTTGGATGGCCTATGGGGCAACCAGGGAATAGCTGGCCTATGGGGCAACCAGGGAATAGCTGCTTCGATCGTTCTTTTAATTATTCTAAGTCCAAGTTTTCTTTGACCTGGGAGTTTTTTCGGGAGTACAAAGCCTATTTTTTATCAGATTAAGCTGATGTATTTTGTGGGGCTCTCCCCTTTTCACTTCTGCCATTTTGTTTTGTTAGGCAGATTTTCTTTTTGGTATAGTTCCTGTTTTATTCTATTAAGCAGCTGGAACTGTTAGGTTTTTGTTGACATCTACTGGAAGGTTGTGATGGATGTCAATATTTACAGTTTTCTTTTACAGTTAATGCAATATTTGGACTACGATCCCTAATTTTCCCAAAAAAAAAAACTTTTCATGCTTGTCATATGTTTTTTAGAGTTGTAGATTCTATGGAGATAGAAAAATCGTAAGAAGTTCATAAACCTCCTTTTACATCCCTACCAAATTTGATAAAAATTTAGGTACGTCTATATTCTGCCCTATATCAAACATAGAAGAACCTATTTGTAAATACTTAACTAATTCATAGCAATTAATAATGGTAAAAAAAAAGGCAATTAATAATGTCTAAAATATTTAATCATCGGATATCTTTTGTATATCCTAACAAGATATAATCTCATAACAATATATAATCTCAACTCTTATCTTAAAATAGCTTTATAAAACAATTTCAAACGAAGCCTTCAATTTCATTTGGGACTTTCTTTTTTTGCTTCTTAATGCAACTTCCTGTTACAAAATTTTTATTTTATTTTACTAAGAAACTGCTTTAAAAAAAAATCATTTATATTTGTTTTAAGTAGTATTAGTTCTACTCGTCATGCCATAGAGCCAATTCTTCTAATTGATTTACAAGCCTGTTTATTTTAAAAGCTCAGTTTATTTAAATATATTACTAACTATAATCTACAAATCTACTTGCTACAAAAACTGCATGTACACAACTGCACAAAACCATGGCAGTAAACATGAATAGGCTACTGCAAAGAAGCCTAGACGAGCGGGCCACCCTTAACAAATTCAGTGAAAGCAAGAGCAACAAGGCCCAGCATGGCAAATCGGCCGTTCCAGATCTCCGCATCTGCTGTCATGGGCGCATTGGACCTGTCCGGCGCGTCCACGCCGCGAAATAACGGAACCAGCGAAGCTACCGAGAGCAACGCCGCCGCACCGGCGAACCATAACACGCCGCCGTTTGCGAGCTGAGCTGCCAAATCCTCTCCTCGAGCTAACTCGACTGCCATGGCCGAGACGAACCCGACCATAGCCAGCCGGCCGTTTATCCGCTCAGGGCCCGGTCCGCTGAACGACAGCGCGTCCCAGAAGGTTTTGCCCTTGGCCTGCATGTGTGAAGAACAAGAACCCATCTTTGTAAGCAAAATACGCACGTGTTATATTATTCATCTACTTTATTTAAGGAATTGATAGATTACTTTCAGTTCTTGTTTTGCTTCAGGTATCGCTTCTCGAAGGTTGAGGACTGGTCCGGATTCACCGTCGTTAGAGTTATCCTGTACGTAAAACCATAGGATCGATACATTTTCATATGATATTTAATTTCAATACCCGAGAATAAGGGCTATTATGATTGCAGAAAAATACATCATAAGGACTGCAAGATCGATCACCTTGGCCTGGCACTGGACGGCGCGGCCACCGCCGGCTGCTGTGCTGCGGCGGTGCAATGATGGTAGAGATGGTGCCTTACTTTGCATGATGAAGCCACGTGACCCGATTCCGGTCGCGTAGGACGGTGAAGCTGCGAACACTGTTGTAGCCATTTCAATTGTGGAAACTTCGAAGTGTAGAAGCTGTGGAATTGAAGAGTTTTACAGAAATTATCAGTTCAGTGGAAGAAGATCGAGGAGGCTGTGAAGAGGAAAGTAAGCAAATAGAAGAAATAAATAGAGAGCAGGAGTGAGAAGTAACGGTGGGTTGGTGTGGTTTAAAGAAAGGCCACGTCAGCTTAAAAGCTTGGCCAAGAGATTTGAGTAACGTGGATGCTGGTGCGCCACGTGACATGGGCACGTGACGTGGGTCTTCGCATGGCCAACACTTACAGGGCGCTACCGGAGTGTTCTGGAAACTACCGGTGATCTCTTGGGCTAATGGGCTTTACGGGGAGACATTTGTCAAATAGCGTTATTTGTCGTCAACATCCTCTCATAACAACCTCCCACGAAGTTTGATACACCATTTTTTTATCAGTCATCAGTCATCAGTATCCTCTCTTGACAGTTTTTGATGCACCTTTTTTTTAATCAGCCATCAATCTCTTTGAGTACATTATAAAAATATAATCGCTACTTGCTATATCATCAAAGTTCGGCATGAATCTCTAGGAAAAATCAAGTTGGAAACTTCAACAATCAAATTAGAGATCATGTCAACTTCGATTTCAACAAACTTACAGTCAAACTGAACGTCTCAGAAATACGAACCCAACGAGACCAAATTCGACTCAATCTGAGTCAAAATGGTCCAAATCAAAGACCCGAAGCGCATTTGGAAAGGTTAAAATTTTAATTTCGATTACTAAATTCTAAATAGTCGAATCGAGCAGCTCGATGAGATGAATCCAACGAGCACAAGATCACCAAATTCTGATATATAACTAAGGCACTCAAATACTTGATAAATGGTCCATGATCAAAGGATTAATTCAACATCAACCGTCCATTCAAACAATTACAAATTTACTGTGACGCCCCAAGATC